AAAATAGACATTTTTCAAAATACTTAATATTTTGTGTTCCACAGAATAAGGTCATGCCGCTTTAGAACAAAAGAAGCATTAGTAAATTATGATGAATGATGGTTTTAAATACTGTAGGCCTATATAAATGATGCCTTTAATCTAGCAGCATTTTGATGCTAACTAATTCTAATTGACTAATATACTCAGGTATGCTTCTTAGAAAGAAGTTGATCTGTTTTAAAAAATGTCTTAACAGCAATATTATAACAATACAGACAACCAGCATAATGAGGTAAAATAGCTAGTCAGTTGAATCACCACATGAGGCTCCTCACACTGGAGAATCTTTGGTTTCTTTATTGACTTCCTCAAGTAACATTTTTCCAACGGTCACATGATTATACACGCGTATTTTCTTTCTGTGAACAGCCAGCCGCAGTCATGAAATGTGGAGATAAAATCAAATTAGCCTCCAATTATTATAAACAACTGAAGTATATCTGGCTGTATGGAAATTAAGTCTTGCTCAAAGGATAGATAAAGATGTTGTGGAGGTTTAAATGCTCTTGGCGGTGTTTTGAGCGGCAGGTGATAGAGTTAATTTTGCCTGGCTGATGTGTTATCAAACCACAAAGCGCGGGATATATACTTTAGTAAAATGTTTCTAAATTTGTAATGACTTAAGATAAGTTTAATTTATTTCAACGCCAAATAAGACTTTGACTCGGTGGACGAGAAGTCTTTGTTTCGCTAATGCTTCCAGAAAACTAACTGGGAGTGAACAGTAGAGGTGGCATTTATCATTTTACAAAAAAAAACAAAAACAAAAAAAACATGAGGTAGCCTAATTTACATCAACAGTTCCAGAACAACAGATATCTTTAATCGTAAACTGACCAAAGAATTGTTTTTATAAACTACTGCTATTGTGATAGCCAACCACCAACTGTCGCTATTTTCATAAATTATTACTCAAGAGACTGTTTGAATTGTGATTTTGAGCATCCAAAAAAAAAGAAAAAAAAAAAGTAATACGTCTCTAATCTAGGCTATACAAGTGGACACAAAAGATGCATTTGCGAGATAAAGTACCGGCGCAATCAATTACATAATTGGGCATAATACATTATTTTGATTAGGCTACGCGTCATCAAAATCCTAAATAGGATTAAATATTCGTTCGCACTTGCAAAGTAAAAAAAAAAATCGTTATGTGTCATAAAATTAAGCGTTGAATAGAGTGTGTGACGTCACGGCTAGTGTCTCTATTGATTGAAGTTGTCGTCCGGCTCAGTGTGAATTTAAACGTGCTCTTCTGATAAGTCCAAAACACTCAGTTATGTGGCACTGAACTGTCCCTCGCATTACAAAGTATCCAATCAACTCTTAATAGCGTTTTAGCTGAAAACAGTTATCGATTGCCCCCTTAAACTCCGAGAGGTCGCATCACTCCGACCACCATCCAATCATCCGTTCCTTGTTCATTTAAACATTTCTCTGAGTAAATGCGCACGGATCTTGCTCGGGTAATGATAATGCATCATTCAAACTTGAAAAGTACAGAAAAGGATGAAAGCATATTTCCCCTCACCTCACTTTTCGCACAGTCGCTTACTCAAGCCTGGGTCCTTTTGTGTAGAGCCACGCTTATGTCCCTATTCCAGTTGATGGCTAGCTGTCGCTGAACATTTGCCTTATAACGTTAGTTGCCAGTCCGAATAGCAGTTCACTACCTGGCTTGGTTTCTTTCTTTCTCTCCTATTCAAACTTATTAAGCAAGAAACAAGTGCTGTAAAACATCTGCACTACGCACGTTTGGTTCTATTCAACTATATTAAAGCTTCAGTGGATTTTCGCACGTTTCTCATTCTCTCCAGTTCATTGCATCGGTCGCATACGGATCCTATCCGTGTGTATGTGCCGGGGAGACCGAACTCCCCACAACCGAGAAAACCTTCCGCTCTGTTCGCCTCTCCCAAACTAACTTCCATGTCAATTACATAGTCCCTTTAACCGGCATCAAATTCATAACAAGTAATTCGGACAATGTAAAGGCTCGTTTCGTGAGTTAATCTGACCCTCGCAGTTAACAATATTAAAAATAAAATGTTTCATAAAACCCTCGCGTCGTAAAAAGCCGTTATTCAGACGTTAAATGCGCCTGTGTTTGTATTTAAAAAATGAGAACATATCTGAATACTTTCTTCATGAAACAAGCTCAATACCGATCATTACTTTGTGCTTTACCTGCGGTGCTCCCACATAAAATCCGACGGAACTACTTCCTGCTGTGTGTGCGGAGGGATCCGTCAGCTGTGCAATGCAGTGTTGAGGCTGCCTAGACCCTTCACTAATGTATGCAGGAAAAGGGGGAAAAAGCCTAGAGCTTACCTATTTACCTTAATAATGAGCATTTTTTGATGGATATCATGTATTAGCCTTCATATATAGTTATTTTACAACACCCAATTGATAAAGGGTGACTGCGAGTCCCAAAGAAATCAATAAAATGTACACTGTAAACCATGGACCCTGGTCTATTACTAAACATAAGCTGAAAGTATTACAGGTGAGAATAAACTTGATATCTAGACAGAACTCTAATACTGACAGAATAAAGGTTAAAGACTGGATTCAGACTGGTCTTGAACACCCCCTCTCTTGACACTGTCTGCCAGCAGGCCCCAAGTGATGGACAGATCCTTCCTTGTACACCCGTATACATTAATACTCTTTCTCTGTGGTTTTTGCAGACAAGAACAGAGACAGACATACCAGCACTTGTGGCACAAGACCCCTCCCAGCCATTCCCTCTCTATGTGTTTCTCTCTCCAACCATCTCCTCCCTCCCCTCCTTCATGCCTGCCAGTACTGTGCAAAAGAGCCATCTCCATTTTCTCTAACTCACCTTAGTTGTCCCTTTATGATGATCTCTCCTTTCTTGTCTCTCTATCTCTCTCTCTCCTCTTCCTCTCTGTTAGACTTCCTCCATCCTCATCACCTCTGAGTTCCTCTTTCCTCCCCTCCCCCTCTCTCTATTCCTCCTCTTCTTGCACTCCCCTCACCACCCCCCACGCGGGCGTGCGCGCGCGCACATGCACACTAGTCAGAGAAAGAGGTTTTCAGTGCTGTTCTCTGCTCGCAACCACAGGCCCGAAGGTGTAGTTTTGCATCTCTTGCCCTATTTTTATTTATTTTTTTCAAAGAACTCTCTGCAATAACATGGAAGCCACAGCCCATTGTTCTCGTGCTACATTATAGTATGGCCTTTTAGGTCGTGATCTTCTCATTTATAAACATTTTATATATAGGTATTAAAATCACTCAATCGTGGCTATCGAACATCTATTAAGGTTCAGCATGAGTTGTGCTGCAACGGAAACGGTGGTTTTAACAGCGGTGAACTCTCTGACCCCCTCCCTTGTTTCCCCTCCTGAAAATGGCATCTATCCCCGTCGCGAGACAGATTACCCGAAAACAAAAGGTTCGGGGCGGGGCTTCGTGACGGCCCATCTGCGGGAGGGGCGTGGTCACGAATATCTAGCGTTATTTGCGTTCAACAAATGGATCGACCTTATAAGTTATGACTGTGGATTGTTTATAATAAACAAGCTATGGGTGTTCAGCAAGGGATATGCCAAGACCATCCCATATGTGTGAGGTTCAAAGTTTACTATAGTGTTCGATGTATTGAAATTAATTACAACTAGTATTTAAACAGGCACTCGATGCATTTCAAGCCAAGATAATTCTTCAAGGAGGGGACACAGTAGCAGTATCTCCACAGTAGCAATTTAAGTTACTGCACTATATTGTCAACTAGTGCAACCGTGTGGACAAAAGAGGTATTGTAGGGTCATTATAGGCCTCTGATAATGCTTCATTCCCTAATAAGGACAATGTTGCTGAGGTGGGAAATCACCTAAAACATATATTTCCATTATAATATATATTTATCATATACATATGATACCAAGCATTTTGTAGCATCTCTGATAATTTGTAATTAGAAAATTGTGCACAAAATTTCTTCAATTTTAATATGAGCATCTAATTGTTTTCCATTTGTTACCATTCTACTTGTTCTTTTTTTATTCCATTTGTTCCAATGATGTAAAAGTAACACAATATTGAGATGTGTTACCCAGGCTACAGTCAACCCCCAAAGAAACGTTTCCTATATAAAAAAAAAAATAATAATAATCCATACCCATTAAAAGCTTATTAATTTCATTTATGACCAAACAAGGCCATTCCGAGTCAAAAAAAATAAAAATAAATCATCACACATAGTGCCACCATGTTTCATTGTGACCCAATCTTGCATTGTTTTACTGATGCACCTTGCACATAGTCATAGAGCACACAAAACACAACTTTCACAACAAAATAGCACAAACAAGGATTCAGAGTTGGCATATGGATTATGGAATTCCATGGCAAAAAGAAATCCTGAGAGTTACAGGCTGGTGCCAAAGGGTAATAAATGTTACTCTCAAGATTACAAAGACTCCAAGGAAACAAATAGGCCTACATCACTGATGTAGTTTTAGTTTTGGAGTGCCAGTATTACATGAAACAAAATAATAGAGATGATACAACAATAAATAAAGACACTTACTATGTTTTTTTTATCCATTGTATAAGCAAATATATCTTAAGACAGTGAAGTCATGATGTCACAGAACTGTCCTGTTCTACAGCTTATTCAGAATACATTCTCCTTGATGCGATTTAATGTATAATCATATATATTCCAATATATGTGATTTAAAAAACACGTTTTATATAACTTGTGTGTACAATATTTATGGTGTGACTTTTTAAATAATGTTTTAGGTTGGAAAAAAAGGAAAAGAAAAACAGCATTCACGATATTCATCAAAGAAAACTGCCATTTATATCAATTACTTGTCATTAACAATAATTTATCTTTACAGCTCTAGGTAACTAAATACCTTTTCAACATGAGGAAGCATGTGGAGAGAGCTTGACCCTTAACCCCAAACCCTATGTCGTCATTTCCCCAAGACTCAACGGCTAATGCCCAGTGTTGCTGAGAGGGAAAGAAAAGAATGAAGAGAGGGAGGGAGGAAAGGAGAAGGAGATAAAGAAAGGAGAGTAGAGCGCGGAAATTTCGTCCCCGCTTCTTGGCGCGAATCTGGCTGGAAAAAAAATAAAAGCGAACAGCCGTCGCTAGTTCCTATATCTAGAGTGTTTTTCAATCTGCCAACCCTGCGAGCTCCTGTATTATATCAGACTAGCTCGCTCGTTAGCATTTTTAACATTCTTTACCTCAGACCACATCTCATCTTCTGATCTCTAACTTCTTTAAAGCATTTTAGAGTGCAATAGTCGCGTCAAGGTGGTCGTATAAAATCTGCACAATGGGGGTGAGTTTGTATGTCCATGTTGTATGTTGTTAGCTTTGCTCTTTCTTGGGTTTTGATAAATGTGTGCGGCAATTTGAACAAAGACTGATGGAAGCAAATCATGATCCCGGAAAGAGTGTAACGTTATGTGAATGCATGTGCGTTGGGTGTGTGTGCTGGAGGTAAAAACCTGGAGCTCATGAATAACGAGGGGGTGGTGGTATAAAAAAAATAAAAAAAAATTGGTGGTTTAACGTTAAAGATGTTCAGGTCCCGAATAGATTCTTGTAGTGTCCATCTAAGTACACAAATGTCCACCTCAAATGGTATCTGGTTCGTTTAAGGTGCCTCGTCGACTGCGCCATTTCTTTAACACTAAGCACAATAACACTGATACATATATTACGGCAAACTGTTGCTGTTTTCATTAAACTGCCTGTTATCAGTTTACAACAGTCGATGCATCAAAGTCATGGGAGGAGCTGCTCATATATGGTGTGTTTGAGCTCCATAGTACAGGCTTTTAAATCGCTTGATGCCAGCAGCCACTGCGAGATCAAACCTTTCACGACAGCGCCAGTGCTCAGTCAGTCGGGTTGGAATTATACATTTATCTGGCAATAGTGAACTTTATGTACTGAGCCCTCCATTGTCAAGCCCTTAGAAAACTATTATTAACCACGTTCATATCCACGTGCTTTGTGTTCTCAGCACCTGTTTCCTGCTTCTCTTGCCATTACTGTACCTTGAGCTGAAGAAAACCCTGCTTTCTGCTCCCCGAGCTAGATAGCCTACTATTCTTGATAATATAGTTTTTTGTTTTTTTTAAATCCTGACATTTACGGAAATACCACTATCCTATGTACACAAAGGGTCACTAACCACTATGAAGTAACATAGATAGAAACAAATGCAATTTGCTAGTGATGAATGTATATTGACCTAGATAATTATTTGTACAATATTTTTTTTACAACAGCTTTTGTGCAATAAGTATTTTTAAAGCTAAAATAAACTAAAACATTTAGTAAATTGCTAGCTAATATGATTTATTAATTGGTAATTATAGTAAAATAAGCATTTAATTCCACTTTTTTGTGACAAGTTCAAAAGAACATTTTGAGAGCATCTCAATGGAGTCATCTGACCGTCTTTTCAAAATGTACTTGATTTGATGATGCTTTTAGTCTTCATTTAATATCAGATTGTTAAGTTTTTCCAAAAGCCTACAAGTTCCGGACAAAAGATCCAAGGTTATCAAATGTCTCGTATTTTGGGTCAAGATACATTTTTCCATACTGTGCTTTATACAATAGTTTTTCTAAGCAGCTTCAACGTAATAAACAGGAAAATAATAGTCTTAAAGGGATAGTTCACCCAAAAATGATAATTCTGTCATTGATTATTCACCCTCATGTCTTTCCAAACCCGTAAGACTTTTGTTCATCAGCACACAAATGATCTTTTTTGATTAAATCTGAGAGTTTCTGTTCCTTCGCTGACAGTTACACACCAATTTTACACTTCATAAAGGTTCATAAAAAGATCGTAAAGCTAATCCATATGAATTGAGCTGTTTAGCCTGAATTTTCTTAAGAGACTCGGTCGCTTTATATATGATGAACCGATTGAATTTAGGCTTTTATTCACATAAATATTCATCAAACCACGCATCAGTTGTGGTAAACGGAAGCTCAGTCATGTTTTGCTTGATGTTTGAGAACTGATGAGGTTAATTTTCTCGTTACGCAGCTTTCCCCAGGTCTGTTCTCGCGTGTCAAGCAGGTTCAGATGAGCTTCTTTGCTGATCAACGTTTATATGTGAACAAAAGACTTAATATATCTGTTCATCATATAAAGCATTCAATTCTCTTCAGGACTAAACTGCTCAATTCATATATGGATTAGTTTTACAAACTCTTTATGAACTTTTTGTCAGGTTTTTTTTATATAACAAAGATCTTCGTTTGTCCTCTGAATGTGAACAAAAGTCTTACTGGTTTGGGACAACATGAGGTAGAGTAATTAATGGCAGAATTTTATTTTTGGGCGAACCATGTCTTTAATGTTGCAAAATCAATCAATTATGAAATGATTTAGAGTTCAGCTGTAAAGCAGCTCTACAGAAAACAATAGTGCCGTTATTCGTCTTAATTTAAACCAGTTTTGATTCAGTTCATTTCAGAACTCACTATGTTTATTTATATTATTCCAACCATCAACCACCCTGCTCTCTAGAGTCGAAATAATTAAAAACCTTATCATATGTCTGTTTATGTTTGCTCTGTAATATAAAGTATACATTTTTCAGATGGTTTTGTTCAGTTTTTATCTGAGGGTGGTGTTTGACAGTATGTCTTTCCGTTACCATTTAGAGAAAATCAAACAGAGCAAAGGAGAAAAAGCAGAGAAGACTTGAAGAACGGGCAGCTATGGATGCAGTGTGTGCTAAGGTGGAAGCAGCCAATAAGGTATGACTAATGTGGACCTGTCTTAAAATTGTGTATGTAATGTTTGTTTAGGCTCTTGCGATAGAGAAATATTGATGCAATGTGTGTCCCTTTTTTTTAACAGCTTGAAGATCCTCTGTCTGCCATGCCAGTGTTCAAAAAGTATGACAGAAATGGGTATGTTTGTCTTTGTTTTCCCCTTTACCAGATGTGTCTGCCTGTAAACTGGTAAACTAAAATCATTTAATTTTTTATGCTATACTAATATTGTGAATGTCTGAATCGGTCATAGGCTAAACCTGGTGATTGAGTGTAAACGGGTAGCTGCATTGAGTCCAGATACAGTGGAGTGGGCCTATGAGTTGACTAGAGCCAACATGCAGACGCTGTAGGTATTGAGCAAGTCAACATGTTGGGTAATCCAACATCCCATATTGTTACTGCCTTTGAAGTGTTTGCTGAAGCGAAAATTTTTAGTGTCTGGCATCTTGAGCTTTCCCGTATAGCTTCTTAATGAGTGAATGCCTGTTAGCATTTCAGTTTTGTGAGAAATGTCCCTTTGAACAAGTATCTAAACTGTTGTGCATGTGTTGCTTCTGCGAAATGTCAATTGTTGTTCCATTGTTTTGGCAGATATGAACAGAGTGAGTGGGGATGGAAGGAGAGAGAGAAAAGGGAGGAGATGAAGGACGAGAGAGCATGGTATCTCCTGGCCTTTGATGCTGACTCCACGCCTTTAGCATTTTCCCACTTTCGATTTGACGTGGAGTGTGGAGATGAGGTTTTATATTGGTAATGTTGCTTTAATTATTACTAGGGCTGGGGTAAACGATTATTAACTAAACGATTAGTGATTATTTTATCGATTAGTCGACTAATTGGATGACTAATATAAAGAATATTTTGATTAATAAAAAAACACAATGTTTCTCAAATACAATACTAGCGTACTGAATCATGATACTATAAGCTGGCTAACGTTAGTCTAATGTTATGTATTTGAACACCGTCATTATAACTCTACAACCGCCACAACCATGTAATTAAAATAATTTGTCACTGTTTTCACAAATTTGCACTTTCAAGGCCCCAAAACGCTGTTGTCATGTAAATAAATGACCAAAACGCACAAAGTTTTCTGTTTTTAGTTGAAAACGGTGTTGTGTAAACGGCCCCTCAGAATGCACAATTTTGGTTATTAGCTGATAGGTGGGATGATTTATTTATATTTTGTTTCTTAATCAATATTTGACATTTAATTGTTAAATTCCCCTATTTTTACATTTAGATAATCTTTGCCATCATCTAAAGCCTAAAGCCGCGTTTTCACCGAAATTACCCGGAACAATTTGTCCCAGGAACTTTTTTTCCCCCCAGACCTGTTGCTGTCTGTGTGGAGTCAGCCAATCACCGCAGTCTAAAGTACCGTAAAGATTAGGCAAATTAGTCCAGTGACGCAGGATTGTGCTCTACTTTACAGTTTCCACTGGATTTCATGCTCTGAATTTAAGCTTAATAAAGCCTGAACCTCGTCATCGTTCCATCTGTCTTATTTTTTTAAACTCCATTGTTGATTCAAATAGCAAACAAACTGTTACTGCACGCACCGCAACAGATGGTGGTTGAAATATAATGCTGTGTGGAGACAACCAATCAAAATGTGGCATGAATTCAACCAATCAGCATGATCAGCGCCCAAGTCCCTCCCACGAAATTCCTTTCACAAGCAGGGACTTATATTAAGGGAAATATTTACCCGGAACTTCATTTAGACCCTGGTTCCTGCGGTGGAAACAGAGTACCACCCCAAAGTTCCTAGTTCCTGTGTTGGAAACGCGGCTTGTAACATGGAAAACCTACTAACTTAGGCCGTGTTTACACCTTTTTATTACACCCAGTATTAAGATGCGTTTCGGTCGATTGGATCACAAATGACGAGAGAGACGTATTTCCGTTTACACCTGGTGTTTTAATCTCCTTTGTCCACTTTCAACCACGTCTGTCCTGATTTCTTCGAAGGGAGAGGTGTATGGGTGGTTTTCAGATCTTTCGATTCAATGGACAAAATTCATTATCTGAGCCCTCCTAGCTCTACAGCGCCCCCCAAATCTCCAATGTAAATCTGGTGAAAAGTGGAACTGCAGTGTGCTGTTATTGAGATTTCAAGCTGCCCCGCTTATTTTCATGTTGGCTTACAAAAATCTTTCTCGAGACCAAGACGCCATCAGTCAGCTTCAGCGATGCGTCTGCATCAGGTTATTAGCTAGTTGGCGTGTCTGTTCATCCTATGTGAAGTAGCGTATCAAATTAATGAAAGTATAAACCTTTTAGTTTATACTTGCTCATGTGAATATCACTTATACACAGCAGTTCTGATGTTTGTTCTGAGAATAGACATGACTTTGTTTTCCTCATTGGAACCTTGCAATATTTTAAAATGATATTCTGACAATAAATACTACATTAAAGCAATTCTAATATGGCATTCTATGCATTTGTTTTGTGTACTAAAGTCTGTCAATATTTATTAGAGCGCCACCCTCCGGCTGAATAACGCAAGGACATTCAAATTCAGCTAAAAGTGTGTCTGATATGTTCAGTGATTAGGAAATAAAGCTTATAAAATGTTTATCATAAACAAGCGCTTAGATCCTGAATCTGCCCTACCTAAATTTACGGCCTGGAACCGCTACTTTAGACCTTGTTTACACCTGTATTTAGCATTGTCCACTTGTGATTGGATTGATGAAAACGTTTCTTAATGCCAAGGACAAACACTAATTTAATAAAAATTGGAGAAAATCTAAAAAAATTAATGTCAATTTTCCCGACATTATAGTGCTATGCCAAAATTAACATGATTGATTAATATTTATTTATTTATTTATTTTTACATTTTAGACAAAATAGGATGGAATCAGTTATTGTCCTTAACATGAAAATAATTATCAGCTTATTGATGTATTGTACAAGTCTGTCTGTCTATTTATCATTGCACATATTGTTTGTGTGAGTGTGTGGGAAGGCTCGCTTGTTATTTTTGCATCGTGTGACTTCACTGATTCACTTCATATAAGACACATGACCTCAGAGGTTGCTGTATGTATCTGACTGATTTTGAATGTTTTCTCAGTTATGAAGTCCAATTGGAGAGTAAAGTCAGACGGAAAGGCCTGGGGAAATTTCTCATCCAAATCCTTCAGCTTATCGCCAACAGGTACCACACCAAACACGGCACTCCAAGAATATATTCTAGTGTGGCACTTTTTCCAAAACTCATAATTCACTCTCTTTCCTCAGCACGCAAATGAAAAAGGTCATGCTGACTGTATTTAAACACAATCATGGGGCTTACCAGTTCTTTAGGGAGGCTTTACAGTAAGTCTTGTCCTTCTTGGACTAATACACATTCAATACTTCCTCACCATATGAAATTCCTGTTCCTCCTCTGAATGCAGATTTTTATACAGGCCTTTGTGATAGACCAAACACTAGATGATAGCAGTTACCATAGTAACAAGTGCCTAGCTGACTACTGAACAAATCTGCATTGCTTATTCAGTGTTAAAATATGAATTCTCCAATGGCTGCCCTCTTCCTTTCAGATTTGAGATTGACGAAACATCACCCAGTATGTCCGGTTGCTGTGGAGAAGATTGCTCCTATGAGATTCTGAGCCGGAGAACAAAATATGGCGACGTGTCGGGGCATGCGCATGGGGGCGGCCACTGTGGAGGCTGCTGCCATTAAGAGCAAGCCGCCTTGGGTTCTTTCAGAGCTTCCTCATCCTCATTCCCTACATGCCACCACCCACAATCCCCTCTAAGAAAACCCTTAAAACAGACTCTCCTGCCCATATTCATAAATGAAACCCCCTCTATGCTTGCTCTTGGTTTTTAACTTAAAAAAACTCATCCAGCATTCCACGTAATAAGCGATAGTATGCTATTCTCAGTTACATAAAGGTTTAAATGACAGAAAATGGCCGTAAAAGCCACTGTGAGCCAAATGTGGCTTCTCTCACCTCAGGTATCAGCATGGTGAGGGTCATCCGGAAAAAAAAAAAGCCTGCTTTTTCAGAAAGTTCCCTCAACTCATCTTCTGTCGAGTGAATGCAGGTGTTGGTCACAGTGGTTATTACAGCCATTTTACTCTACCACTTTTCAGGGTAAATGTATTTTAACTAAAAGCTGAAGTTTGCTTCTCACTTCAAGAATATGAAAACTACAGTCTGTACTGTTTATAATTTGTAATCACTTAGACTGTCTCAGGTCACTCAACAAAATGTTTTATAACAGCTATATTAGGGAACTTATGGATGAGGATTATGTTGATGTTTGATTTGATAAAGAGGTTGGCATGTTAGCTATGGTAGATATATTCTTTCATTTTACTTTTTTTATCATAACATTCTTTTATCATGTCATTACTGTATATTTCCATTTTTTTCTTCACTGTATATAATCTGTTTACCATGTACATTTTATTTGCCTTTAAAAACATTGGAAAATGATATACAACACTTAAACAGTTTGAGAGATGAGTGTTACTGTCTTGTGCTCTCCTGCTTTGTTATGCGTTTGATTTGTATGCAACAAATAAAGGAATCTTGTTTGACTTCTTGATATTTAGTGGACTGATTTGTTTTACTGTGTTTCAAATGTATCTTGAAAAAGTTGTTCTTAACTTTTGATTTTAGTTAGACATTGATAACCAAATCCGCCACCCTCAGTTTTATTGAGAAAGTTTTTTTGCTTTGTTTGAGTTATTTGAACTTCATGTGAGAAAAATGCATCCTCCTCAAGTTTATTTTAAGGAATGACTATTTCAAATTTTACATTAGAAATTAAAATATATGTAACTGATTAAAAAAATACTCTTACCATTTCAAAAGTTTGGGGTTAATTTTTTTTATAATGCTATGGAATTTTATATTTAATTATTTAATTTTAAAAAGCAATTTATTTCTGTGATGGCAAAGCTGACTTTTTAGCAGCCATTTTTTGTGTCACGTGAATCATGATTTTTCTAATGATTTTGGTGCTCAATTAACATTTAATTTATCAATAATAATAAAAACAGTTGTGCTGCTTAACAATTTCATGTTCAAGATTCTTTGAATAATGATTTATAATAATTCAAAGATTCAAAAGATCACCATTTATTGGAAAAGGAATTTGAATTACAGTCTTTCCTGTCACTTTTGATCAGTACATTCTTACTGAATAAAAGGATTAATTTCTTTTAATTTATAAACTAATTCGTTTATAATATAGATTGAGTTGAAAAATATACATACTTATTTCATAATAATGAAATGTAATTGTTTGGGAAACAATATGGGATAATTCAGACAGCACAACACAACCTTAAGATCGACATAAAAGATGTATGTATTCTTTCTGCCTGAATAAGCAACAAATGCTCATTTGAACGCTGTTGGAAGAAATTATTAAGAAAGTATTTTATTATTAAATAAAAATGTAATCAGCTAATTCAGACCCTTGGATATCTTTTAATCACTACAATGCCATTTCAAAATCAGTATATTTGTGGTGGATATGCTAATGATGAAATGCACTTTGTGTTTTAAAGGTTTTAAAAATGTTTTCAAAATTGGTCATAATACAAAAAAGTTAAACAATCTGCTATTTCACTCACTGGAATTTTTCTTGTTTATGTTTAACGTTTTTTAAACAAAAGTTAGAGGGCGGAACTATGGTTTGTTTCCATGCTTCAGGAGATCATTGACCATGTTACACATTGAAAGCGGAAGTTGTTGGTACTGCGCTGCGCAGTGGATGAATGGGATCGCTGTACATCATATTGCGCTTCTCTTGTATCGAAACGATAGAAACGCATAACGCTGTCTGTAATACACAAAATGAGGCGACCAGAAAGGATTTATTCATCTCAACTTTACCTTAATGCACATCACTGAGTGTAATTTATTAAAATACATTAGTTGTTGCTGTAAATTCATAACAGTTACTGAAATAGATATCTGATTTTATTGGAAGTATTTGGGAAGCTGCAAACCATCCCATTTTTTTCCATCATCAGTTATGATGCATTCACATGAGCTGTCTTCATGATCACCGGTTTCATCGCCCTTTCTCCGTCAGTCTTGGTCTCTGCATCAGCAGGTCATCATGAGGATGAGGCTGAAGCTGAAGACTGTGTTTGTCATGTACTTCATGGTGTCACTGCTTGGACTCATCTATGCGCTGATGCAGTTGGGTAAGGCTGGAATCTCTAACATCATCCTTACCTTGTTCCTTCGGCCTTGAACCAGCCCTTGTTAACCATGACAGTGAATCTTCTCCGCAGGTCAGCGCTGTGACTGTAGTGATCATGGCATGTCTAAAGATCAGCAGATCTCTCATCTGCGAACGGAGCTTCAGAAGCTGCAGGAACACATAAAAACGTCACAGCTGAAGAAGACTGATGTGCCCAAAATTTATGTGATAACACCCACATATGCAAGGTATGTAGGCAGCTGTTTCAAGATTACATGCAGGAATGTCATTCAGAAGGACATATAAAAGTGTGCAAGGCATCAATAGAACAGTGTTAAAGTTTTTGGTACTGTTAAGGCGTCTTTACACAGCCGAGTTACGGTTGGTCTGTGCCTGCTCAAAATTCAGTGTAAAGACGCAATGCCGGATAAAAGCAAGACTAAATGATGCCTGCTCTGACCCGCCACAACCCCTAGGATTATAGACCATTTTGCAAGATGTAAACAACACTGGTCCAGAAACACTTCCTGTTTCAGTTTGTAACTGTTTTCTTTATTTCACATGTAAAGAAAAAATCTTAAAGATGTTTGTTTAACTTTTAGATTCAGTTTTATATGTTCTGTTGGTTGTATTTTATCCCAGCTTTTATGTAGTGTTAAAAAACTGAAACAGGAAGTGCTTCTGGACCAGTTTTGTTTACATCTTGCAAAATGGTCTATACCATTTATATACTGTTATTGCTGTGTAAATGCATCAGTGCCACCACTGAGCTAGAGCCTGACCGATGAAGGATTTTGAAGGCCGATACCGATACAAATATTTGTTGGTTTTAAAATCCGATATATCGGCCGATATTTTTTTATTTTTCTTTCATTTCAGAAACGTGCAACAAAACATTAACAGATTTGCCTAACATCAGTTATTTGTAGTCATTTATGAGTTTTAACTAAAATAATATGATAATGCATTTTAAAAAGAAACTTCAGTCACATTGTCAAAAGTTAAAAGGACAGTCAGTCAACTACACTGTAACAACGTAATTTTGGGGTGAGCTATCCCTTTAAAATATCTCTAAAATGATGTTTAAAGAAGTTTGCATGTTTTGTGGATGAGAATAAAAAATAATTTAAGGAAAGTCTGTCTAAACTGCACAGAATTGAATCTCTCTCTTTCTCCCTCTCTCCAGACTGGTGCAGAAAGCTGAGCTCACTCGTTTGTCTCTCACCTTACTCCATGTTCCTCAGCTCCACTGGATCGTGGTGGAGGACGCTCCCCAGCCAACTCCGCTCGTCACAGACTTCCTGGCTGCGTCTGGCCTGACCTACACCCACCTGCACAAGCTGACCCCCAAAGACAGGAAGCTCCAGGAAGGTGATCCCAGCTGGCTGAAGCCTCGGGGAGCTGAGCAGAGGAACGAGGGTTTACGCTGGCTCAGAGAGATGGGTGCTGCCGCTGAGGGAAAGGAAGCGGCTGCCCTCGAGGAGGCTGTGGTGTACTTTGCTGACGATGACAACACATACAGCCTGCAGCTTTTTGAAGAGGTGAGGTGTTTTAATGGTTAAATATACTGTATATTAGCGTGAAATGCTAATGCTTATGCTCACCAAGGCTGCATTTATTTGATCCCAAAGTACAGTGATATTTTGAAATATGAATACAAATTCTTTATTTTCATATTTTAAAATGTAATTTCTTCCTGTGATGCGAAGCTGAATATTCAACATCATTACTCCAGTCTTCAGTGTCACATGATGATCCTTTAGAAAACATTCTGATATGCTGATTTGCTGCTCAAGAAACATTTCTAATTATTATCAATGTTGAAAACTGATTCATTTTTTTTTTTTTTTGGAACTGTAATATATTTTTTCCAGGATTCTTTGATTAACAAAGTTAAAAAGAAAAATGTGTTTGAAAAAGAATGCAATCTAATGCATCTGTACTGAATAAAAGTATGGTTCTCTTACGAGAGGTTCTCTCGTATTGCGTAAGCTAGCTTACGCTACGGGAAAGATTCATCTTTGCTGAGAAGTTGAAGCCAAAAAATTATTCCATAATTTTGTAATCATTGTCAACGCAGTCTCTTCTGAGGCAGACCATGAGCGGGCTAGCTAGCGGCTCATTGGTTCGCTCAGAGAGAATGCACGAACCTATGGGAGAGCGGCGCTGAGTCCGCGGCCAATGAGCGGACGGCGCTCGCTTACTGCGTCACAGCCCGCCAAAAGGGGCGTGGCTACAGTGTATAAAGGTCGCTCTCCCAGCTCGTTCGTCGATTCTTGTTCATTCAGCGAGCTACACGCATCCGCTGTTCTGGGAAGAAGCCGCCGTCGTTGAGAAGGCACCGTCTAGCGAGCTCCGGAGTCTGAGGAAGCCGGCCGTCTGCCACCTTCAGCCGCCCAGCAAGCTAGCGCCATCCGACGCGTATCCTTTCTTTATTATTCCTGCTAAAAGAGCACGAGCGTCTTTTTAAAGATGCCTCGTAATTCCTGCGGCTCTTGCCGCTCTCCGCTCGAGGATGGAGACCGCCACCCCATCTGCGCTCTCTGCCTCGGAGTGGAACACGCAGAACTCGCCCTCGCCAACGGAGGATGCGACCACTGCGAGGACCTGCCGCTGTCAACCCTGCGGGCTCGACTACAGGCGGTCAAAACCGCTCCAGCGCCGCCTCTAACTTCGCCGCGGAAGAAGAAACGCCGCTCCCAGAGGCCGCCGGAGCCCTCTGCGGATCCATGTGGGCCGCCGCCGCCGCCCACCGACCGCTCTCCCTCTCCGCCCCTGCCGGACTTACAGTTGCCGCCGAGTGGCCGCTCTGTCGCCTCCGAGGACACCGCGGATGAGAAGGACTCTTGTTCGCTGCACGCTTCGGACAGCGAGGATTGGTCGTCGATCGGCTCATCGACTAGAGAGTCTGCGGGGACCCGCGCCGGCATCGAGGAGGAACTAACGCGCCTCCTTTCTCAGGCCGTTAGCCGCCTGGGTCTCGAGTGGTCTCCTCCCCCTGAGCAACCACCGAACCGCATGGATGGAAAGTTCCTGCACCGGCGCCCGGCCCCCGCTTGCAGCCGGGCTGCACCCTTCCTGCCTGAGCTTCACAGCGAGCTCACGAAGTCCTGGAATGCTCCTCTCTCGGCTCGTAATCGCTCTGATGTGTCCGCTTCGCTGCGCTCAGTGGACGGAGCTGCCGAGAAGGGTTATACTGCCATGCCGCCCGTCGAGGACTCGGTCGCCGCTCATCTCTGCCCGCCCTCTGCTAGATGGCGGTCTGCTCATACGCTTCCCTCAAAAGCGTGCAGAGCGACCTCCAACTTTCATGCCCGCGCCTATTCCGCCGCCGGTCAGGCCGCTTCAGCGCTGCATTCGATGTCTGTCCTCCAGGTGCTCCAGAGCGACATCTTGTGTGAAATGGCGAGCAGCGGGAGGCAACCGCTCGTCCTTTCGGATCTGAGAAGCGCTACGGATCTTTCCCTTCGCGCCACTAAAGCCGCCGCACAAGCTCTAGGGAGATGCATGGCCGCCCTCTGTGTCGCCGAGAGACACTTATGGCTCACGCTGACCGACATGGGAGAGTCAGAACGTGCCGCGTTCCTCAACGCGCCTATTTCCCCCACCGGGCTCTTCGGATCCGCCGTCACGGGCATCGTTGACCGCTTCTCCGAGGTTCAAAAAGCGACTCAGGCCATGAACTTGTTCCTGCCCCGCCGCTCGAGTTCTTCGACGGGCCGTTCTCACGAGCCGCCTGCCAGAACCACACAGCAGCGCCCGCCTCAGCAAGCTCAGCAGCCCCAGCGTAGACAGGGCGGCCGCCCTCGCTCTCGCTCAGACAGCCGCCGCAGACAGCCTCCGCCCCGGGGGCCTCGACCCAAGATCACGCTGAAGCCTGATCAACAGAAGTCTGCCTAGCACAGCTGAGAAAAAGACGGTTTTCTCCCGCTGCGGCCGGACCGCCGTCAAAGCTTCGCCCACTGTTAGTCCCCGTCTCACCGCTGACTACAGTAGTGTTTACCGCCACAAACAAGCCGGTTTCCCTGCCCGCTTGCGAGCGACTAAAAGCCGTTTTCACGGCTACCCAGAGAGTTCACAAAAAGAGCATAAAAGCCTCAAGTGTAAAAAATGTGCCCACAACCATGTGCTCACGTACACACACAAGCACTTTATGCCCAGGGTCTCTCGCAGAGCCCATTCTCACGGAGCGTGCACTTTCCGCTCCAGCAGCAGAGAACATAAGCACGCCCACGAGCCCGTGCGCGTGTCCCCCCTCTGCCCGCTCTGTCTCAAGGCCCTTAAACTCCTCTCTGAGTGTAAGTCCCGTTGCCTTCCACATTATAAGCGAGCCCACACCCAGTGTCCAGCCCGCAATGTGCAGCAATCAGGGCGAAATCGCCATTCAACCACTAGCCGTATGCTACAAAGCGTGGGAAGCCATCCCCGGCATCTCCCCGTGGGTTTTAAGCATAATAAAGAATGGTTATCGATTACAGTTTCGTCGCCGCCCGCCACGCTCGCGCGTGCGGCTCGAATCCACTGTCAGCCCGGCTGCTATGAACACGCTTCGCTTAGAAATAGCCAAGCTACTGCAGAAGGGCGCTATAGAGAGAGTCCCGCCATCTATGACCGAGTCGGGGTTTTACGGCCGTTATTTTCTGGTCCCCAAGAAAGACGGCGGCCTCAGGCCGATCTTAGATCTCAGGGCTTTGAACAAAGCGCTCATGAAAAGACCGTTCAAAATGCTCACAGTCAGGAAACTCCTCGCGCACGTCCGCCAGGGGGACTGGTTCATCTCTCTAGACCTGAAAGACGCCTATTTTCAGATCCAGATAAACCCTCATCACAGGCCATTCCTACGTTTCGCCTTCGAGGGCCAAGTTTACCAGTATGCCGTTCTCCCGTTCGGCCTATCCTTAGCACCCCGTACGTTCACGAAGTGCATGGATACAGCGCTCGCCCCCCTGCGAAGTCAGGGGCTGCGCATACTGAATTATCTGGACGACTGGCTGATTCTAGCAGATTCCCAGACGGAGCTGCTGTCGCACCGCACAGTTCTCCTCAACCATCTGGAAGCGCTGGGACTCTCTGTCAACTGGACAAAGAGCTCTCTCCAGCCCAGTCAAACTATTTCGTTCCTCGGAATAGATTTGAACTCTATCACGATGACGGCTCGCTTATCCACACAGCGCGCGCGCCGTGTTCAGCGCCTAGCCGCCTCGTTTCAGATGGGTACCCTTACATCCCTGAAATCGCTTCAGAGGATGCTGGGTCATATGGCTTCAGCCTCCGCTGCGCTACAACTGGGTCTCCTGCACATGCGCCCCCTTCAATTCTGGTTAAAGAGCCGCGTATCCCACCACGAGTGGACGACGGGCCGCCAGATGATCAGGATTACTCAGACTTGTATCACTGCACTGCAGCCATGGGCAGCAAGCGAGTGGTTTCAGAGGGGCGTTACCATGGGAACATTCTCTCGCCGGAAAGTCATCTCGACAGACGCATCCAACTCGGGTTGGGGAGCGGTTTGCGAGGGCTCACCGGCCGCCGGCCAGTGGTCGAGCCACGAGAGTTCCTTACACATAAACTGTCTGGAAATGATCGCGGTCGAGAACGCGCTGCTGTGCTTCCTCCCGCGCATAAACGGTCACCACGTCCTGATTCGCTCCGACAATATGGCCGTGGTATCATACATCAACCGTCAGGGCGGCGTCAGATCCAAGAATCTCTTTCATCTGACACGCCGCATCCTATTGTGGTCCCAGAGTCACCTGCTTTCGCTCAGAGCGACGCACGTGCCGGGCCATCTGAACGACGGTCCAGACAGGCTGTCCAGGAACCTGGTCTCCCCCGGAGAATGGTCCCTGCACACTCAAACAGTCCAAACACTGTGGCGCCTATTCGGCAGAGCGGAGATAGATCTTTTCGCGTCAGAAGAGAACGCTCACTGCCCAATATTCTTTTCAAAGAGCGAGGACGCGCTAGCCCAGGATTGGCCCCGCCGCCCGCTCTATGCTTTTCCCCCGATTTCTCTGCTACCGCAGGTCATTCAGAGAATCAGGGACTCACGCCACTCGGTGCTCCTCATAGCCCCGCGCTGGGAGAATCAGATTTGGTTCCCGGAGCTAACGCGGCTGTCACAGACAGCCCCGTGGCCCATTCCAATCAGAGCAGATCTCCTCACTCAAGCCCGCGGCTCGATCTGGCATCCCCATCCACAGCGCTGGGCGCTTCATGCATGGGTGACCAACGACTACGCGTCGAATTGCCAGAAGGGGTTTTGAACACGATCAAACACGCCAGAGCGGATTCTACCAGAAAGCTCTATGCTGCAAAATGGTCTGTGTTCTCCAAATGGTGCACCGACGAGAATTTGGACCCACGGACGTGCGAGGTTTCGTCTTTGCTAGTGTTCCTTCAGGAGATGCTGGATAAGGGCAGGTCCCCATCCACTCTTAAGGTTTACGTGGCAGCCGTCGCGGCGTTCGCTGAACCCCGGCGCGCCCAGTCTCTGGGCAAAGACGAGCTTATCATCCGCTTCCTCAGGGGAGCCAGAAGGATGAACCCCCCTCGCCCCCCTACGGTGCCGGTCTGGGATCTTTCTATAGTTCTAGAAGCTCTGAAAGCCCCACCGTTTGAACCACTTGAGTCCGTGGAGCTAAAATACCTCTCGTTAAAAACCGTTCTTCTGACGGCTCTCGCCTCAGTAAAACGTGTGGGGGACATTCACGCGCTGTCTTCGAGCGCCGCGTGCCTAGAGTTTGGACCGAGTGACTCCATAGTCATTCTAAAGCCTAGACACGGTTATGTTCCAAAAGCGATTGGTACCCCTTTCAGGGCGCAAGTGATCTCTCTATCGGCGCTGCCGGCATCCGATAGCGAACGTGACGCTCACCGGCTCTGCCCGGTTCGGGCTATCAGAGTGTACACTACACGCGTTGCCGCGTTCAGACGCTCGGAGCAGCTGTTTGTGTTGTTCGGTGGCCGCACCAAGGGACTAGCCGCCTCGAAACAGACCCTATCCAGGTGGATAGTAGACGCGATTGCCTCTGCTTATGCCGCTAAAGACCTGCCTTGCCCTCTGGGCATCAGGGCTCATTCCACCAGAGGCATGGCCTCATCGTGGGCATGGTCCTGCGGGATTTCCATCCACGACATTTGTGTGGCTGCGGGATGGGCTTCCCCCTCCACCTTTGTCAGATTTTACAACTTGGAAGTTCCAGCCTTACAGGCTAAAATTCTGGCGGTCTAGTACTCACAGCCCTCCTATAGAAGCCGCACTATCGGGAGTTCCATCACAACCGTTTCACCCCTTGTGTTCCCCTATGTGCTTATGCATTAGCCTTCACATCACGGCCCGCCTTCGCCGGCCGCCTTGGGCGTTTTTGCACTAGATAGTAACGGCCGCTATCTGGCCGCCGTATTATCTTCATCCACTTATAGATTCCCCCGGTGTTCCCCTGGGATGCTTAGTGGTTACTTAGCGCGCACGGCGTTGACCAGGTGTTCCCGTAGCGTAAGCTAGCTTACGCAATACGAGAGAACCTCTCGTAAGAGAACGAATCGGTTACCTAACGTAACCTCGGTTCTCTCTAGATGAGGGAACGAGTATTGCGTTCCCGGCCGTGCTTGCGCCACCAGCGTTTCGCTTCATGCTACAGAATCAACGAACGAGCTGGGAGAGCGACCTTTATACACTGTAGCCACGCCCCTTTTGGCGGGCTGTGACGCAGTAAGCGAGCGCCGTCCGCTCATTGGCCGCGGACTCAGCGCCGCTCTCCCATAGGTTCGTGCATTCTCTCTGAGCGAACCAATGAGCCGCTAGCTAGCCCGCTCATGGTCTGCCTCAGAAGAGACTGCGTTGACAATGATTACAAAATTATGGAATAATTTTTTGGCTTCAACTTCTCAGCAAAGATGAATCTTTCCCGTAGCGTAAGCTAGCTTACGCAATACTCGTTCCCTCATCTAGAGAGAACCGAGGTTACGTTAGGTAACCGATTCGATTTCTTTCTTTCTTTCTTTTTTGATCTTACTGATCCTAAACTTTAAAACTGTAGTGTTTACCACCAGTCATATTTTTGGGCACTTGGCAGATTTTTTGGCCACTTTTTTGGTTTTGGCAGAATTTCAATGAAAGCTGAACTTGGGATCATCTCAAGTCATTTAATGGGTGTTTACAGGTTAAACATCCAGGTGGAACTGTGCTTCAGGTGTAACTGATGTTTTCTTTTGGAGTCTCAATTACACCAAGCCTTCTCAAAACCATGCTGGGTCTGTACATAGTCTAATGGAAAATATGTATGATATAGACAAAAACAAAAAACAAATCAGGAGGCCTTGTGTCTATAGGCAAAGATGTCTATGGACACAAGGCCTCTTGATTAGTTATTTTTTTCTATATCATACTTCTTTTCCGTTGACACTCTCCTTCCTATCATCCCTAGATGCGGTACACATACCGTATCTCTGTGTGGCCCGTGGGTCTGGTGGGCGGGATGAAATTTGAGCGGCCTGTGGTGGAAGATGGGAAAGTTGTGCGTTTCCACACTGGCTGGCGCCCCAATCGCCCTTTCCCCATGGACATGGCTGGTTTTGCAGTGTCCTTGAGGTTGGTAATGACCAATCCCGAAGCACGGTTTGACGGTGATGCTCAGATGGGCTTCCTGGAAAGTAGTTTTCTTCAACACCTGGTTACTATGGACGACCTTGAACCCAAAGCAGACTTGTGCTCCAAGGTATATCCTTTATTCTGCACATAGTGTTTGGAGATTAATCAGCATTGCTGAATATTAGCTTATTTTAAGACTATTTTGTTTGTGAGGTTTCTGTTTATTAGCTCTTATGCATTATGAAAATACATTTTTATGTGCTTTTGTCATTTTTATTAGTTTGTTAATTTCTGAATAGTACAAATTTATTTGTATTTCAGGGTTAGTTTAGTAATTTTGTCACTTATTTCAGTTAGCTGCCGAGGACACATTTCTATATTTCATGTAGTTTACATTTTTCATCTAATATTTAGATTTAATTTGATTTCAATAAACAAAAAATGAAGTATTGGCTCCCTTCCAATTCATGAGTTCCTCGCAGGAAGTTGAATAATATAGTGCAACATTCAGATTCCGGATGTCTTTAAATAGTTCTAGCATATTAAGTAACTACATCAATGTCAATCATGTGGCATCCACAAACCTAATGAGATTCGAGAGCTATGGCAGAAGGGAAGAAATCCACTTTCGTTGGAATCATAGTTGAATGGAATCACATTTGGAAATAAATTAAGAATTCTTTTAAAATTCCTATTCAATTTCTGAATCCCATGACCTGCTTCTCTGAATTGTTATTCAGGGATTTAAACTAATTCCGATTCAAATTTCTGTGTGGAGAGTTCATTTTAAATTCCAACTCAAATAAAAAGTGAGTCAATTCTTTAAGGAGTAGTTCACTTTTAAAAAAAACTTTTGCTGATAATTTACTCACCCCCATGTCATCCAAGATGTCCACGTCTTTCTTTCTTCAGTCGAAAAGAAATGAAGGTTTTTGATGAAAACATTCCAGGATTTTCTCCATATAATGGACTTCATTGGGAACCAAACGGTTCAAGGTCCAAATGAGAGTTTCAGTGCAGCTTCAAAAGGCTTTAAACTTATCTGGGACCCTTCGTGTCATGACTCGAAAAAAGATTTGTTCATTTTGATGAACGAGTTCGAACAGGAGAGTCACGAACGGGCATCACAGAACAGAGCAAGGCGAGCATTTGTGCTTATAAAACTTAAACTTTTGTGTTTATTTTTTTAAATGGCCACTCGTTTTGCTAGAGAAGACCCTTATTCATCGTCTGGTGTCGTTTAAAGCCCTTTGAAGCTGCACTGAAACTCTCATTTGGACCTTGAACCGTTTGGTTCCCATTGAAGTCCATTATATGGAGAAAATCCTGGAATGTTTTCATCAAAAACCTTAATTTCTTTTTCGACTGAAGAAAGAAAGACGTGGACATCTTGAATGACATGATGGTGAGTAAATTATCAGCAATTTTTTTTTTTTAAAGTGAACCACTCCTTTAAAATCTGAATTTTTCCCAACCTTTTTTGGAATGGGTCAATTATTCTTTTATGTACTATTGAAATGATTTTTCTCTTGCTCAGGTGCTGGTGTGGCACACCCGAACTGAGAAACCAAAGATGAAGCGGGAAGACGCTTTGCAGAAGCAAGGGTTGGGTTCAGATCCGGATGTGGAGGTGTGAGCACCACCTCCTCAGAACATGCCTGAACTTTACCAAACATCCACACTTCCGTAGTGCCAAACAGATTCTCTTATGTAAATGGCAAGAGGTAAATTTTAATGTACTGAAGACACTTCTGTAAGTGTGATTTCTGGGTTCGCACACCAAAGACATTAGGTGATGATTGCAGGCGAATGCAGCGACACAAAGAAACCCGCAGCTTAAAAGGAAATGGATTGTTATAATTCATCCTGCACCCCACAAACCATCCTAATCAACGGTTCACTTGAACATTATTTAAAGGGAATTGTACATATGGTGTCAATCATTAAGATGATGAGTTTGTATTTATAGATTAGAAGTGAGGTTTGCTTGAAATATATTTATTATAATATGAACTCATTATGTCTATGCTGTCTTTGTCTCTCTAGGTGTACTTGTCTTATGCCTTGCTAATAAAGACTTTTTTTCCACTGATAAGTGGAGTACATAAATAGGTTAGATACGCTGTCTATTTATGCATTGCCATTAATGATCTCTTAAGTCACAATGCTTTGATTATCTTTAATCCAGGGGCGTGATGTGTACGTGGCACTGGTAAAGCTTCAGGTGACACGGTGTAAAGTACAAATGATGTCACTTGAACCTGTGAAACAATGAAGAGTGAAAACATTTAGAGAATGTGATAACATTTCGAGTTATGCACATCATCATTCTGGTGGCGATGTAAAAACTGTAGATAGCAGATAGATAGCAGAATGAAGCAGAGGTCTTCCTGTTTTACTGAATCCAAATGTAAGAATGTAAATATTTCAATCAAGATGTGAACAGTATTGGCTGCCTTCCAATTCATGAGTTGGTCACTTCAAAGGAAGTTGAATATAGTGCAACAGTTTGGTCCCTTTCACATTCGGGATAAGGGAATTGATTTTTAACGATAACTAATAAACTATTAAAGACAGTTCTACTCTAAGCTACAAGGTTGTTCATTGTTCAGCTTATTTTAAATATTCATGTTTAACAGCAGAATTCCTGGTGAAAATAAAATAAATCTCCAAACAGTTGCAACAAGCAAACTGAACTCTTTAGTGCATGCCGACTCCCGTGAAACACAGCAATTGATATAAGTCTATATAATATATGATATATAGTCTCCCTACGTTCTTAAATATTTGTATATATGCACATTTAGCAATATTTATTTCCAAAAACTTTTTAGTGATTTGTTCCAGAAAATGTTTGTTATGCTGGTTGAAAGTTTATTCACATCCTGATTGCAATCACAAAGTGTAGAGGTCTAAATGTATTTATATATGTATATAAATATGGCCTGTGGAAGGAGTAGGACCATAAAATGTTTGTCCAATTATTGAATTCGGTACACTGTCATACCTCCCTGTCAATGTATGTATTAAAATTGCCTACCTAACCTTTAATCAAAAGTTTGTAATGTTATGATTCACCTTGGTTAATGGCTTATAATTCTTCAATGAAGACTCTTTAAAAAACAACAACACTTTATGAGAAAAATGAATAGGAAACAAGCTGAAAAAGTGGATGGACACTTTTGCATCTATTGATCTAATCAAAACAAGGCTTTGTCAAGCCATTATTCAAAGTTTTTCTTGACTTAATTTAAGTTTACCTCAGTTTAAAATCAAATTTCACTTCTGCACACTAGCAGTAGAAAACAGAATTAATTTGCAACTCAATTCATTTCTGAACGGTGAACAACCCTGATGTCAAAGCCCCTTCACATGTTCAAGCACCACCTGTTATGTAATGACTCTCATTGTAAACAAAAGTAGATATTTTTCTCAGGCATTTATCTCAGATGTTATCTCACTCAGAGAACAAATTCATCCTAAATTTTTTTGTCAGTCTTTTACCAGCTTTATCTATATGAATAATGTCTCCACGTGAGCCCCAGAAACCAGAAGGATTGAATAAGCAGGCAATAAACTCCCGTTTTACAATGATTCAACTGTACTACAGCATCCTGTGCCCTCTTAACCAAAAACTCAACTGTAGTCACATCTGTGAAACAGCCGTTTCTCTATATATCCTCGGGGGTCATTGCCACTGGGCAGTGATGTTACTCTTCTCCAGTTTTCTATCTGTAAGCACAAGGATAGATGATTCTTCAAAATGACTACTGTTGATTAAACTATTTTAAAGCACACAATGAGATCCAAAGACAGATTTAGACATCACTCCGACGTACAATTACACGTGAATACCCAAGTCTACATGCACTTTCTTAAGTATTACCCTGTAGGAGTCTCTAGTCTTAAATGCCACACCTAATGTTTCCAGGCATATATTCATTCTCTTTTCATCACAGTTGCTTTTGTTTTTGAGCTCCCTTGTTTATTTCAACATCATTTTTTGAGGGAAAAACATGTTAATGAGCAAGAACATTTGGGATATGTGTAATGGGTGTGTTCTTAGTGGATTAGTATTCCTTTTGGAAATGAAATTTCCTGACCGTGCATCATGTTCCCACCCAGTGAATAATCCCCAAAACACATTTAAGAGTCCTGCTCAGGTGAGTCAGTACCTCTCTGATAATGGTTGTTGGCAACACTTGCACTTACAACTTTACGACTTTTGTAGTAAAAGTTTGATACTACTGTTTGTGTATTTAGGTTTTAGTTGGCTGATACTTATTTTGAAGTTTTTGTAGGCTGCTTCCCTTCTTCAGTTAATTAAACGAAACAGAGAGAGAGAGGGAGAGAGGGGGAGGAATTAATGTGCTTGAATGACGACAGGTTCAGACAGTGTGACGATTGTGTGTGTCAGATTAAGGTGAGTTGGACCCAGAACACAAAGAGCGAGTGAGAGAAGAGTCACGCGAACACAGCCAGCAGGTAAGTCGTTCAAACTTGAGTGCTCTTGTGTTATGTATATGTTTACTGCTATAAATCAGTTTCTTTTTCTTTAAATTTAATGGGTTAAGCTTATTGTGAAGCAACATTAAGGTTGGGATGGGGTAAATGATAGTTTACACATAAGAATAAGAAAATTAATAATTTTGATGTATAGAGGAAAATACAGCTTTGTCTTCTTTTTTTATGTGTAAACATTTATAATACCAAATTATATATGCTCTGACTTGGTTAACTCTGAACGCTGAAGTTAGTCTGTTTCTAAACAGAAACAGAAAAGGCTTTCAGTAAAAACAGCTTGACTTATATGTAAATAAGACAATAAGAGAATATGAGAAAATAGCACCATTTCTAAAGAGTTGAAGTCTTCAGCATGGCCTGTAAATTAAAATATTTGCTTGATTTATATATCAAGTATTATATATATCTGGAAAACTGTTAGTTCCCAAACTGTAAGTTTTTGACATACAGTATGCAAGTTTTTTGACCACAAAACTTTTAGTAAAGCCTTGCATACTATGCAAATATTAATCTCAGTCAATTTCTTTTGTATAGGGCTATATGAATAATATTAAAAACAAGCAATAATTACTCTGTTTAAATCTGCGAAGTATGACATATTTGTGAGTGATATTGAGTCATCTGTCTGGCACCAGCTGCAGTTCCAGCACAACCAACTGGAGTCAAAGTCAATGACAGACTTGAGCTCATCTTATCAAAAAGTCATAAAGCAGAGTGTTGGTTTAGGAGACACACTGTCCCAAATAGGAACTTACTGATATGCTGTATACACACAGAATGAACTTTGAACAGTGTGTCTATGATGACATGACTGATAAACACACACAGTGGGATGGAGGGGAAAGATAAACCTCAGGCCATGTAGACTTCACTTCGACAGTATCATCGAGGAAGCCTGCTGCTCTTCTTGCTCTTCTTCTTTTGTTTGATTATGTAAGGAATGTTGTGGAACAATTTTAAGTAAATTCTCCGTGACAAATATTTGTCTGATCTCTTTCCAACATTTTCAACAGATGACCACGTCAAAGTCACATGTTTCCTTTTTCCTTCCTTCCTCTTTAGATTGCAAAGACTGGATTACCATCTCTCAAGACCATGACTATCGGCAAGAGCTCCAAAAAGAACAAGGCCCCTCGTTCTCCTCCTTTCCTGGACAAGGCTAATGGATTCTACGGGCGCTTGGATGAGATGTTTGGAGAACCCACACCCACAGAAGAGCAGATAGGAGCCTTGAACAGAAGCAGCCAAGACAATGGCACAGTTCCACGCTGGATAGAAGATGATGACCATGTGGTTGATTTTAACCAGGGTATGATGGATGATGATGGGACCACTTTACTGAAGAGAAAGCCCAGCAGACTAAGTCGCCGCTGGAGCAGGATGAGCTCCAGGAAGGCAAAATATGACAAATTTACATCAGACAAACAACTGTGTAATGAGACCAACAAATCCACCTCTGTAGATCTAAACCCAGAGGTGCCACCACCAACCCAGACCCTGGAAAACAGCGGAGAACCAGAATCAACAATGGTCCATTTCTCCATGAAGGAACATGCTGATGACCAGATTCTAATATCAGGGAAGAAGGAGAAGGAAGGAGAAGGGGAAATGGAAGACACGAGAAAACAGAAGAAGACAGAAGGCAAATTGAAAGGAGAGGCAATGGAAATTGTAAAGAGGAACACTCTCAAGAATTATCAGAAGGTAAGAATAAAGAACCGGTACTGAATGACGTTTGGGACGGGTTCGTTTTGTTAGCGTTACTCACGTTCATTCTTCGACGCTGACGGAATAGAGTTAATAATATACTCTGACAGAGTTTTTGTTCAGTGGCGCCGCGACAGCGCTACGGTTCTTTATAGTGAATAAAAACATGCGCGCAACCAGCTCGAACAAATGACTCTAATGAGTCGGTTCTTGTTATTGAATCAAACACAACAAGGTGAGACTTACAGTTATGGTTAATGACTGGCTATAGATAAATATAGACAAATCATGCGTTTGCTCACTATTTAAATATATACAAAACATGTTTACATATTTTTGTTTCTTTGTTAGCCTATTGTTGTTAGACCCCATAAGGCTACATGGATAGCTTTCTCCATCATTTGAGTTGAAATGAAAGAGAACCATCATTGGTTTGGAGAGTGAAATGTTTTGTAGAGGCATCTGGGCTAAAGTTCCTTTTTCTGAATTGTGCTGAAATAAGCAGTCTGTTGAGTTCTGCCAGAGTCCACCACCCCATGGTTATGGTCCACCCTAGCACTAGCTTCATGTATGTCAGTACCCCACCCCCCTTGTTTTATTAGGCCTAGTCAGTTTCTTGACCCATCTGTTAACTTACGTCACTATCCTTTATTGGTTTTGCACCTGGTCAGAGGAAAGAAGCAAGCAATACAGGAACAACAACTCTTTTCAATCAAATGCAAGGTGACCTTGTTTGGAGGAATGTGCAAATAACCAAATGACCCCGTCACTTCACATACATTCCATGTATTTTAGTTTAGCCAATAAGGACACATTCTTTATTTCAGAGCAATGACCCTGCAGTAAACACACTTTTAAGATGCATGTTCATATTATATAAAGGATATTGTTTTCTGTGATGAATTGACTTTATCATTTATTTCACTTTCAGGCCATAGACAGAGCTTTCCGTCGAGGATGGGAGACTTTCGTTGCCAATCTGTACAGTGTGACACTGACACCTATCTCTTCTTCATCAACACCATCAGACAAAACTGAATTGAACAGGAATCGTGTTTTAGCAGAATTCCGTTAAACAGATTCACTTGTATTTTCTTTCAAATTGATGAGTAATTTCATTTATTAATTGAAATGTGCTCAAATATTTAATATGCATTGCTGTTCTTTGCTTAAAACGGATCATTATGTAACCTGACATGAGAGGTCAATATTTGAACTTTTTATCAGTGTATGAATTTGTTATCACAGCACTAACTAATGAGGCGTGTACCTGATCTTTGTTCCCTTGTTAGGAAACATGATACTATTATTATCCATGGAAAGTTGTGTGTGTGTGTGTGTGTGTGTGTGTGTGTGTGTGTGTGTGTGTGTGTGTGTGTGTGTGTGTGTGTGTGTGTGTGTGTGTGTGTGTGTGTGTGTGTGTGTGTGTGTGTGTGTGTGTGTGTGTGTGTGTGTGTGTGTGTGTGTGTGTGTGTGTGGATGCAATAACGGTTTTTGAGCTGTGAACAGAAACAGAGTTCCTGTACTTTGGCCATGAAAATGTATTCTTCAGGGCTATGTACAAAGGGTTAACTCTTAAAATTAATCTGGGAGCTCAAAGATAAAAAAGAAAGTCATCAACAGGTACAACATCACTGGCATTGAAGTATATAAATAACTGAGCTAAGAGATGGATTTTCTGTTCTGTAAATGTATTTATCTTATGTATCTTACCTATATAACCCAGTTTCCTATGTCACATAGGCCTAAGTGAAATTAGGTTTTGTTTTTTGTTTTTTGGTAATGTCTTGTTTTATTTGCATTTTGACATCAAATCAATGCTAATAAAAAAGGAAAAGTGAAAAAAATGTGTTACTTGATTCTGTAAAAAACTATTGTTTTGAAAAGAGTAGTATTATGCTATTTTATGCCAAAGAAGTCAAGAAAGAAATGTTTAACATTATGGTTGATATGGTCATTTCATCACACTAGAAGGAAGGTCAAATCAGATGCATTGCAATGTGGAATACCCCAATGACCTAAATGACTTTTGACAAAATTTGTATTAATTTGATATGGTTATATATATATATATATATATATATATATATATATCAGCAACCATATCACCCTGTAGCCCAACAAATTTTTAAATACTAAATCAACTATTCTATTTAAAATTTAATTTTGACAATTTAATTTAATTGAATAATTGTTGACGGACAAAGCAGAATAGAGATGAATCGTAACAGTAAAATTATTCTGTGACTTACATAGGCATATGAATATTTACATATTTAATTGTCAAAAATGTTAATTGTCGATACATGTCATAATAACATAATAACAAAAAAAAAACATATGCAAATGGAATGATTTCACTCAACTAACCTATAGGTTTTAATGTAAGATGTCTGAAATCTAATTCATGGAAATTCTGAATAATAACCCCATTAATTACAATAATTATTTCATTTAAAAGTAATTTTGTCTAATTTTATCTTTCTAGTTCAAAATAAAGAACTATAACTGTCACTAAACAAATCTAAAAACATTAATGTGTCCATAAATAGCTCATTAACAAATAGACACAACATTTTTTGATATTCAATATAATATAATGTGATAGGTCACTATTTCACAGAGACACAAAATGAGATCAACTGAACTCAAAACAGTTTCTGCTAACTTAATTTCACAATTGTTGATATTCAGATGAAATTACAAAATTAATAGCTATTCATCAAAAGTACTGAGATGTGATTTTGTGTCATCTATGTTCAGGGGGAAAAAAAGGTAAGGTGGGAGAAGGCAACTTCCTCATGTTCCCTTTATGCTTGTATCGATAATGCCATCTAGTGGGAAATGTGAAGCTTAAAAAAAAGAGTGATTGAGAAAAAGATGATTATCATCTACTTTACAAATTATCATGCAACAAAACATACTAGTTCTAAAACTATACGATACTTACCGGTATGTGATAGTCGCATAGGCCTACGTTCAAATAAGTAGCCATACATTGTTTTGCCTCTCAGTATATATCTGCTGTTTTTATTATTTTGCTATTTAAAATGTGCATTACGTGCACTAGAATTAACCTATTTTGCATCTACATTTTGAGCAGTTACAGTTTATCCATTTTAAAATGTATTTTAATCATAGACTGTAAAAAGATTTTAATGCACAAGCCAAAATGTATACTGGCGCCTTTAACATGATCAGTAACCTTATTGGTTGTTGTAAAATGGGCGTGTACTTTCACATGTGACAAGAATAAAAGGCGCCTAGACCTCTTTTTCGTCCATTTTGCAGCAGCTTCATCATGGGTGAGTACGTTATTGGTTTTTGTAAACTGAAGTGTAGTTGTTTTATTATTTTTTATACGCCTTTTTCTAAAGAGGGTCTACAATAGTCGTCTTTTCTATGTTCGTGTGCATTTTAGTATTTATTTCTGTACAGTGGCCCTTAGCAGACAACCGCGCAGCGTGTTTGCAATCCATTAGCCCATGAGTTTCTGAGTCGCATCTGAAGCCATCCTGCCTCACTTAGTGCTTTTATTTGCAATTTTACTACTTTTTATTGAAGTTAACTTGATCCTCTATCGGAATTACAAGATATTTACTGTTGGCCTGCTTTTTTTGCTTATGGCACGATCTCTCAATGATGATAACTTCCACAGACCTGTTCTGAAACTCTGTGATTGCACTTTTATATATCTGAAGAGAGATTTCACTTGAGTTGTTCGTAAAAATGGCGCCTTGTTCTGTAGGTTTCATAAGGGCACACGTGTCTCAACTACATTTTGTTCTGTTGCAGTAATGGCCATGACGAGCATAAAGTCCCTGCCATCGTGGGAAGGTAAGTTCTGTAATGGGTGCACCTACTAAAACAAACCTGTTGTAGATCGACAGATATTGACAATGTAATAGTTTTGGCTAGTTTTTTTTTCCACTTGAATAAATGGCATTAAATTTATGTTAAATGTAACATGGAGTTTTGTTTATAATTTCTTTGAGTTCGTTTTAGACCAAACTTTAACACTTGCACGTGGATATGGTTAAGGAATTCAATTAATAAAAGTGTGATAACTAAAGTTGATCCCCCAAAGATCAGTGCATGTTACATGTTTCATAACTATGCATGCATATTGAGAACTTAAAATTTAAGGAGAGCTAAAATAAGTTGCCTAGGATACTATTTTTATAGTTTAGGCCTTATTTTTGTCTACCACACCCAAGTGAATAGCCCTTGTGCTGAGTCCATGAATTTATGCATGCAGTGTTCCTTTGCCTTATGAGTTTTCTATTCCTAAATTGCTCTAACCTTTTTCAGCTGAATAGCATTGCGCATCTATTATAGATTGCCAAGTGTTTTTGTAGTATTTTTAAATGCCCTTGTATAATATTTATTTATATATATATATTTTTTTTTTTTCATTTGTTTTTGCAGCTATCATGCAGTCTGTTGGGATGAGGATGAGGCCTGTTAAATTCAAGGTAAACGTTTCAAGTATTGAAGTTGGTTTTTAATCCTAAACCTATTAAATGATGATTACAAAGACAAGCATATGTCTGAATTTCATTGATGTTTGCCTTTATTTTCTGACATAATGTGGGTGGCTTGTGCTCAGTTTAGTTGGATCCCTATTGGCACTTTAGGCATTCAGTAGTACTACTGTAACTTTAAATTGTCTTCTGAGTAGTTCTGTAATATTTCTAAACTGAGTAGCAGGCGCCACTTGTTGCTAAGTGTTTCTTTTTGTTCCCTTTAGTATGTGAAATGTGGGCATTTGTTTTTGCAGTTTCCATGCAGTCTGCCAAGATGAGGAAGAGACCTGTTAAAATCAAGGTATGTTTTCAGGTATTGAGGTTCCTCTTTTAGGCTAAACGCTTAAATGATGATCTCAAAAGACAAGCATATGTCTGATTTCCAGTGATGTCTGCCTTTTTATTCTGACAACGTGGATGACTTGAGCTCAGTCATCACTACCATATTGTAGTTTTAAAAATAATGTTTGTATTTTAGGGTTGCCTGCACATGAACTGTGTACTGACTGAGTCCATGGATTCTGTATTGGTAAGTGGTTTTCCTAAATTCAGTTTGTAAACTTAATCACTTAAGAATTGTAAACAATGTAACAAGATTACATTTGTCATATGGCATTCTTGTCACCAAAGTCTGATCACCATATGTCTTAAACCATATTTGCTGAATTCTGTGCTTACGGTGCCGTTTATCTGTCTAGGTGCTTCCACTTGTCCTGGTGGCCATAGTATGGTCCGTGACATTCAGGTGAGCTTTTGGTTTTGAGTGGTGTTTTCTTAAATAGTCTGAGAGGATGAATGGTTTATACCATTTAACATCTGGACGGCAATATTGCTCTATGGCATTAGTCACCAAAGCACTGATCAGAAGTGGTTTAACATGTTGGTTTTGTTTTTGTAAACTAAATAAAGTAAGAACCTTTGTTTATTAGGTGACATCTGCACAAAAGGACCTTTTACCAAGGACTAGCATCTTTCAAAGGTAATTTTATTGTTTATACGTAATGTTTTGTCCAATCTCTGTGATGAAGATACTTAGCTCACTTTGAACCCATGTGAAAAGTAACGAACAACTGAGAGATTGATTGAATTTTGTTATTATTATAATTGTGTGTACCAGTCAGACAAACCCCTGTTGTCTTCTCTTCAGGACTATTGTTTAAGACTAAGTGCGGAGTCCTCTAGGTAAGGTTACTTCCTGCTCCCATGTGCTTAATATGCAGTCCCTCTGTAACTAATGATGATTTATTGGAATCTCGTTCGTCTGAAATCCTGTTGATAAATCTTATTACTGATGTTACACCATTTCATCCATTTTAAGTGGTTTATGTATCAAATGATGCTCAGGCTTTTCTTTTTTTTTTTTTCATGACAGGTTGCACGCCTGAAGTGTCGACAGGTAAGAATGTGCTTGCTATATCGAATCCCACCTCAAATGGTGCCTATTTGATAAACTTTCACCTTTTTAATGCTCAATACCCTCTGTAACTAATGATGATTTATTGGAATCTCGTTCGTCTGAAACCCTGTTGATAAATCTTATTACTGACGTTACACCGTTTTATCCATTTTAAGTGGTTTATGTATCAAATGATGCTCAAGCTTTTTTTTTTTTTTTTCATGACAGGTTGCACGCCTTAAGTGTCTCGACGGGTAAGAATGTGCTTACTATATCCAATCCCACCACAAATGGTGCCTATTTGATTAACTTGCACCTTTTTAATGCTCAATACCATCTGTAACCTATGATGATTCTTGCAGTCTCGTTCGTCTGAAGTCCTGCTGATAAATATACATCTTGTACTGATGTTACAGAACTAGCATTTGTCTCTACACATGTGTAACAAGCCCATCTGAAGTCTTTTCTTTTTTTTCTCACAGGCGAGTGGCATTTGAAGTTGTCTAAATGGGTAAGAATTCAATCCCAAATGTGTAATGCAAGCCTGTTGTCCTTTTATGATGTAATTCGCACAAGTCTTACGCCTTGACAATACCAGAACCTGAAAAGGTGAACCCACTGGTCTTGCCTTGGCAATAAGGGGATGATTTGTTGGGGTTACCAACAGTCTGAGAAGGATTAGTTTTTATGTAGAGCAACGTCTTCATTTTGTGTGATAATTAACTTGATTTTAATTCCATGCAGGACTGCAATGGCCATTCTGTACCATCCCCTGGAAGTTCTGGACCCTCTTCACACTGAAGTTGGTATGTGCTTGTGTTTTTTAGTTTAATTTCATGTGAATTGGTAGGTGTCATTAACCCTTGTGCATCCTTGTAGACCTTTTTGTCCTTTTCAGTTTTGTTTTTTTGATCACTTTGCCTGTGTTAAAGCTAACTGCAAAAAACTTGGCACAGGTGTGTTTTTATTGGAATTTTTCTACTTCACGTCATTTTCATAAAAAAATATTTTTTGCATTAGGTACAAAAAATACTCCCCTTCAGCCCCTTTTGGACAATGTCCCCTTTGAAACCCATTAAAACTGCCATTTTTAATCCCCGGTTCAGTTAACTATAAAATTATGCAATCTTTGTTAAGAGGCTTTCATTCTGATGGCAAAGCTTCAATTTTATTTTTTACTTTTGTTTTTTTATTTATTTTTTTTATTTTATTTTTTTTAGTTTGGCCTATAAAACAAATGCCGCTTTTCCTGTTTTCTGGTTCGGCATACTATAGAGCCAACTGGATAAATTATGCAACGATATTTGTGTGGGTGTGTTGGTATGGATGTCAGAGTGTGTTATAAAAAAAATATATGTGTGTGTGTGTGTGTGCGCGCGTGTGTGTTTGTCAGACTGTGAGAGAAAAACTGCAAATTCAGGTCCAATCACTGTGAGCTCCAGTGGGGTTTTGCTGGCACCCAATGGGGAAAATATGTTACTACGCCCAAACAAACTGTTACTGAAAGCTCATTTTTTTGAGATGTCATCCTCAAATTTGGAACACAACCTATTTAGATTTATGGCTTTGATTTTATTGTAGTTTTGAGTTCAACCTGGTTTTAAAAAATATATATTTTATATAAAATATTATTTTATAAATAATTTTCATAAACTTATACCTATATAACTTTTTTTGGATTTACTTATTATTATTTTTTTACTTCAGCAATAATCTGCAAAGGGTCTTCTTTAAAATAATACCAAACTGAAGTCTGTGCTCCAAAGCGTCACATTTTTTATGACCGTTTTTTGACATGGACATTTTTGTCCTCTTTTTACCTACGTGTAACTTTTTTTTTTTTTAAATTGATGCACAAGGGTTAATAAGATTACTGCCCCATTCTGATATATCTGACTGAATGGTAGTCCACTGACCTCAATTGGTTTCTTTAAAATTTGTTTCAAAATGTAGGTACCTAAGAGGCTTATTGGTTTGAATTAGTATGGAAGTGATGACTGATTACCGCCCCAGTCTGAAAATTCATGACTGATTGGTATACACTCTGATCCACACTTCATGTCTAGCCTTTTTTATTTGTGCTTTAATTGTTGCTACTGTCCTTCCAGGTTGCCCCAGAGGTCACATCATGCTGGTGTTTTGTTGACATTAAAGGTTTGTACATGTGTTTTTTTTTTTCACTATTCTTTATAAATGATGATTTCTTATCGCCCCAGTCTGATGTGTCATGACTGATTGATGTTTCTGATAAATGTAATTATTAAAAGGTACCATTCAAGTCGACTTGTACTCGCTTACTATCCTCCCCACTTTTCTCTCCCTCAGGTGGTTTCATGCCTAGCTGATTTAAGGATGGTGTCCTGTGTTCAGGTACCTAAAGTTCATTTGTACACTTAAGTATGGATGTGATGAGTAACTACCGCCCCAGTCTGAAAAATCATGACAGATTGGTTTAACCTCTGATCCATACTTAATTTTTCTTCATTTTTCTTGTGCTTTAATTGTTGAATGGGTTCATTATGGGTTATTTTATTTTTTTGCCCCATACACTGACCTCCCTCTTTCTCCCAGGTCCGTTAAAAAAACATCTGGGGAAAAGTTGAATTGTGGACGACCGGTTGATGTTTGCTCCTAATTCCTCTACTGTACACCTGTTGAATGACCTGTTTGAAATTGAATATATAAATGGCTGGCACTCAATTTGTTTACACTGTAATTAAATTACTTGTCAATATTTTTTTTCTTGGAAATGTGTACTTTTTGGCATGTATTAAGTTTTTTTTTTTTTTTTTTTTTTATAATAAAGGAGTTTTCAAAGTTTCAAATTAGTCTTAACCTTTGAATGTTTATGAAGTTATTTTTAGTAAACTAATTGGAAAAGTGACACTTCAAAGTAAGGTTGTTCAACAATGAGTTAGGCAACATGAACCGGCAATAACTTTTTGTTAGTAAAATGTTTAAAGCCAAGGTGCCATTTTTCCATTGTGTTTTGGGTGTTCATGCTAGTATTAAAGGGTAAGTTTACACAAACTGTCAAAACTCGCCCCTGTATTCCTATGCTATAAGCCTTTCATTCAGCTTTGGAATACAAATGATTCTGAAAACTCACTCCGTAGGGTGTTGGCTAATTGATAGCTTCCAGCCCAAAAAAGTGAATGACCTCATTAAAATAGTTTATGCCTCAATCTTAAGTGGCCAAATACTTTGTGTGCCAAAGTAAGTACTCCCTTTCTCTCTCTCTCTGTGGGCCTCTGACCGAGTTCATGTAGTGTAAAAGTGTTTCTAGGTACATCAGAACTTTGGGTCACTATTGGCCAGCATCACACACATGATCAGCATTGGACCATACAAGTTTTTGCACATAAAGTATTGTAGTTGATTGATAAACTTAAGGTTGAGCCACTGTAGTAACTTGGACTATTTTAAATGTCTTTATAATTAATTTGTGGCATTTATCAATTAACTTCCAGCTTGTGAAGGAGTAAGACCGCTCTCAGCTTTCATAAAAAAATATCTTAATTTGTGTTTCAAAGATAAAAGATAATCTCATGGGGTTGGAACAACATGAGGGTGAGTAAATGTTGAAAGAATATTCATTTTTGGGTAAACTTACATTCTAATAATAGAATTAAAGGCACAGTGTAAACCTGAAATCATGATATTATATGACCCTTTAAATAGTTTTCAGTGTTCCGATGGGATAAAATCAAAATTAAATTGTTCATGGATATTATTTGTCTAGTTGAAAGGCTGAAACCCTCCAGAACAAACATAAAAACCGCACTATAATCACTTACGGAGTAAGTAGCAATTTTTAATAATCAGGTTTGTCAAGGCAGAAATGAGTATTTGTGGCAGATGGGATGCATTATTTATGCAGCTGAACAAATGGCACTGAAAAGTACACAAACAACTTCAAAATGGCTTCTGTTTCAGGCAAGCAGCTTTTTGATGTTGAAATCACAAAGCCTGTTGTTAATACATCTACATAAACCATCTTAAACATTTAAGATACAGTGGTATCGACAATTTAAAGTCCAAAAAGATCCTTTTTTGGGGGTCCATTATCTGCCAAATGCGTTAACTATCAGTCAGCTGTAAAGATCCGAGCTGCTATATCATCAAGCAGCCAGTCCACACCTGTAAGCAGGTTCTCGCCAGTCACGGCACTGCATCCCACTATGCACCAGTGATGGGTCTTGATGTCATCAAGGGCTAAGACCTGCACAGAGAAAATTCAGAAAACAAGGCCATATTCACGAATTACAGTTGTGACCTGTTACGCTAGTCAGGTTCATGCAAATACAAATGATTTTGTCTGTTTAACTGAAGGCTCACCTCTCGAATGGCATCTTTTGATAAAGACCCAGGTAAGTCCTGTTTGTTGGCAAAAACTAACAGAGTGGCTCCTGCTAAGCGCTTCCAAAAAGGAATAATATAGAAGTAATCAAACCCATGTAATATGAAGTGTATAGAGATAGACTTACACATTACATTTTATTCATCCATTTAACTTCAAACACTATAAGACATTATTAGGTCCAAGTAAAGATATTGTTCATCTCACCTCCTCTAGTAATAAAGTACTCAGCTCTTTCCTACAGTCCTCCAGTCTCAATCTGTCAGCGCTGTCCACAACCCACACCAGTCCATCTGTACTCTCGAAATAATTCCTCCAGTATGATCTCAATGACTTCTGACCACCCACATCCCAGATATTCAGTTTAAACCTAGTCTCAATGTGAAGCAAATGAGACAGAAACAAAGACATTGCACTTAAGAATTATTTGAAATGCATCACAGTGATAGTGGTAAATAAAAAGTCTGTTTATACACATAGTAGTTAAATTTATTAGTTATACACACAATTAATTAAATTAACAATCAACAGAGACATTTAATAAGTTAAAAGTATTTATGACGCCCACAACTTCGTACTGATGCAAAACGACGTAACATACAACTAGTTTCGGTCATACCCTCTATGCTCAAGCGTCTCTATATTGAAGCCTAATGTTGGAGAGATCGTGCTGACATCTTGGCCGTTGAACTTCTTTAGGATGGTTGTTTTTCCGGCATTGTCAAGTCCACTATAAAAGAACGGTTAAGGGCCCACAAGAGTCTTCTGTATCACAAACTTTACATTAAACTAGCCTAGCACCTACCCGAGTAATCGTAAGTCGTGAATAGAGTAAGCTGATTATATAGACTTTATAAAAACTACAAACATTTAAAAACAACATCGGTGTAAAATAAACGTATCTGAATATAAACATTTGAATTGAATTCAGTTCTATGAAAAGATACAGCATCAGTAGACGCATTTCACGCTCCTTGTGCTTCATTTTCTTCAGGATCGTCAGTAAACCCATCGTGAAAGTTTAAATGTAAAACACTGAAGTGGCCTAAAACCTGAATTTGCACATTAATTGTTGAAACGCATGAAATAATTTCCTAAATAAATATCACATGCGTATAGTGAAAAGCCATACTGGAAACAAGGAAGCGTTACTATGAGGTAACACAACCCATTGAAGTATGATTGGTTAGAGAGTACGCAAATGTGATGTTGAAGGCATATGATTGGTTGTCCTAACTGTCAATTAAACTTGGGCCTTTTCTATTGGCAAAGGAGAACAGCGGCAAGGGCGTGTTCGCGTTTCTGATAGGTGCAGTAAGCTGAATCCAGTCGTAAAATCAAGGTGCGTTCCATTCGACAGGGTCCCTACGCAGTGTTCACTGCTCCCTACTCCCTGAACACGGTTTATCATTTGAAGTGGACTTCACTGACTTCCTGTGAAGTGATGTATCGATGTTCCCTTATTCCCTATGCCGTTTGCAGTGCCCTTCGAACTGAACATGTTTGTTCCCTTCGAATTGGAATCTCACTTAAGATGGCGAAATACCCTGTGAAGTCCACTTCGCAGTCCACTTACGGTCGAATGGAACGCACCTTCAGTCATTTCTTTTGCAGCGCCCCCTGATGTGCATAAGTCAAACATGCGAGCTACTCCACCAGAAGACTTGCAATGCAAAGTAAGTTTATTTTACTTAGGCTAATTTTGTCTGTCTGGTTGTACGATTGGTTGGTCAGCAATGCTAGTTTGATCTTTTCATTGCCTGCCAAATATTATTTTCTCTTACTCAAGGATGGGCTTTTACGTTGAAGATAAAATCAGAATGTGCTTTATTGCTAAATTAATTAGAATTTGGGTACACACAATTTTAAAAATATATATATTTTTTTATCATTGCATCAGCTTGGATATTGAACTCCTAACAAACATAAATTAATTATATAGCCTACTTAATTATATACTTGAAAAAAAATAAGTTTGGTCAAAAATAAAATTCTCAATAATAATAATAATAATAATAAATGAAAATAAAATTAAGTTCACAGTTCTCTGATGTCGGTTATTGGTCACAAAACATTTATTTAATTTCTTTACGATTTAAACTTACAAATCTGTGGTTCCATTACAAACCCCCAGTCTGGGAAACTCTGAGGTAATGTAATCTTTCTCTTTGTATTTTTATATCAATATGGTACAAGATTATAATTTTCAAATCAATGTGATAAACAAGGTAGGTTCAAAGTAATCTAAAAAGTAATCATAAAGTAATCAGATTACATAATCTAAAAAAGTAATCTAGATTACTAACTGTCATGTAATTTGGGATCAGTAACTGCAACAATTTTTGAGAAATGTACCCAGCACAACTATTTATATTCAGTGCAAGGGAATGCTAATAAATGTAATAAACGTAAAATAAATGATAAAATAATATTTACAAACAAGAGCAACCACAATAACATTAGAGAACGTTTATAATGATGGTTATACAAGCGTAAGAAAATATGAAGAGTTTATTTGTTTAAGTTTTTTGCAGTATTACTAATAAAAAAAAAGTGGGGTATATCATAAAATAAAAATAAACAATTAATAAACAATTAATTGATTAATAAAACATTGTGACCTAACTGTAACTAGAATGTTTCATTGGCTTTCATCCAAAGTCTAAAAGAAACCTTATGGTAAATGTCTTCTTTAGTCTGTCTCAAATTGCTTATTTGTGTTTCCCCTCTTGAACTTATAGCCCTCATGTTTCCAGCATAGATCTGTATCTATTCAACTTCCTAGTTCCACCCAGTGAAAGAAGCACTTCCACCCAGTGAAAGAAGTGACTGCAAACTTTTCTCCAAGCAGACTCCCACTGTATATATATATATATATATATATATATATATTAGACTATAGGCACTTTTATTAATTTTGTTCATATTTTTAAAAATACATATAATTTTGGACAAATTCCTCTTTCTTTGTCAAACCTTAAACTTTTTAGTACCTTCATACTTTTCAACCTCCTAGGTGTTAAAATCACTGTTTTCTCCTTTTTCCACACACAGACTTTTTAACTTCAACAATGAAAATACAAGTTAAAAATATGACATATCTGGTAACTTTTAATATTCTTAAATTAAGCACTAGTAAAATAATTAAAATACATTATGGTTTTTAATGTGAGACCATCAATAATACAAAAATTGGTGTCATTTCCACCACAACACTGAAATGTCAAAGCTAATCAATGAAGCTATCTTTAATTTTTTTGACAAAAAAAAAAAAAATGTCATTGGACAGTTGAAGGTATAATTCGAGGATTTCCTCTATCCCACCGACCGGTCTTCTATTGAGGAAGCGGGAGGGCTCGTCCATCACCCAAGCTGAAGTCACCGAGGTAGTCAAGAAACTCCTCGGTGACAAGGCACCAGGGGTGAATGAGATCCGTCCTGAGTATCTCAAGTGTCTGGATGTTGGGGGGGTTCCAACAGGGAGATGTATGGATGTAAGTCTATGCCAGGGTACTGGACAGGAGAATTTCCATCACCACACACATTTTTTAAAAAATATTTAAAAAGGTATTATAACACATTAACAATTTCCCTTGTAATCTAAGTTTGTCTTCTTTAAACTAGACATCCATTAATTGTATTTCGTTTATTTAATTCACATTCATTTTAGTAAGGAAATAAAGTAGCCTAGCCTTACACGCATAGTAAAGCCTGAATATCCCATAAAGCGTTCCATCCGTTTGGACTTCCGGATAGGAATTCCCAGTAAACTGTAGAGCGGGAAATGTACAACCCAATTACTGGCATTTTTGTGTGGGTGGCGATGACCTCTCCAGTCTCCGCTAACCGGGTCGTTTAAAATAATTCGAAACCGAAAACACACTAGTCCACCCCTCTGTTGCGTCACCTCATTGCCAGAGCTATTGGCTCATTCCACCGCCCACTGCTTACATTAAAAACCTCCGAGCAGTTTAAATCATGACCAGGCAATGTAGTTTTGCAGACAACAGCTGCCTTAGGCTTTTTTTTAACGCGCTTGCATTTCAAGTCGCAAAACTTTGTATAATACGGAAATAAAACCAACGACTGATTTATTCTGAAAGTATACATGCAAGCATTTTGTACTGATTTAACTGTCGAAGAGAGCACCCGTGTTCTTGGAGATGCCAGCTGTCTTCATGGATAACTTTGACCAGGGAAGTCCTTTCTCGCAAAGTGATTCTCAGAGTCCTCTAGATTGGGTAGGTAATGAATTAACTTATTTTATGTAATTGTACTATCTACACATACATATTACAAGCAATACAATATTTATAAATAAATATTTGTTTATAATATTAATTTATTTATAGTTTAAAACACACACACACACACGCATACATACATATGCAGTTATTTTTATATCGTAATATCTAATTACGAACAATAAAATATTATAAATATCGATATATTATAATTCATATACATGATCTGATGATGAATATCCTCAGAGCACACAGTCAGATGGCCATAGGCACCATCGCAAAGAGAAAAACAGAGATGCAGCGCGCAGGAGTCGAAGAAAACAGACAGAAAAGGCAGATGTACTGCACGAGGTCAGTGGCATATTGCGACCTTTTACACTCTCTTTCCCCTTTTGAATGTGTAACTTTTGCTTTGTTACTCGTTATCTTTTGATGTCTCCAAATCCTCACATTTGTTTTGCATGTATCTTTTCATTCATGTTACTCACACAAATATATGTGATATTGTTCTTTATTATTGTAATTATCAGACAAATAATCTGCTCCCTTATAATTAGCCTACTTGGAATTATAAAGTTATGTGTCATAAGAATAACCTTCAGCAGAAGGTGTGTATTAAAAATGCAACTGCGTTTGTTTCTGTACAGGTTATTTTTTGTGCGTGCGTGTTTGTTTGTTAATAATTACTATGTTGTGTGTGTGTGGAGGAGAGAGGAAGCATTACTATTGCGCAACTTCAGTTCAAAGCAGGCATTTCTTGGAAACATGACTGGGACTGATTATTGCACTAGCGCCAGACGATTTACCTTCATTTTCACTTTCATTTTCACTTTAGATGATGTACAAATCTTGGACTTTCCCCTTTCCCCAACCCACTAATCAGAACCTTTCATAGATTGACAGAAAATTTAATTTTTTTATAATTAGTCTGTTGTGTTTTTCCTCTGAAATTCTTTAAGTTGGAAGAGCTGCTCAGGTGAAATCTTTCTTATTTACTGTGCCACATTTTCGTTCCCTTTGTAACTTCTGCATTTCACTATTGTACAGTTTATAAACTTTTCTTTTTCTTTTTTTTTTACTTAGGAACTCCAAGATCTAGAGCAGTCCAATGCCGCATTCCGAAAAGAAATCGATGAGCTGAAGAAGGAGCTTCAAATCTACACCACTGCTTTGGAGCAACATGAACCTCACTGCACTAAACTCTGTCCATATGGACCATCAGTTAGTGTTCCAGTAGGTCCACCCACAGCTGCACCCTCTACCTCAGATTTCAACTTCGCCCATGAACCCAACCTCTTTTCGGACCTTTCAGTTTTACCAGACACTAATTTAGTGGACTTGCCTCTAACAAGGCTCCTCGACAGTATCGATTGGTCTCCTTGGGACACCTTGAATGGGAATGGGTGCCTACAGCAGTTTTGAGGTGCAGTACAGTCATGTTCTTATTTAATGACAAGCCAAACACACTACATACTGCAAACATCTCTTTTTATTGTATTCAAATGCAAGCGGTGCTAAAACGCATGATCCATTAAGGTGTGAATATGTTGTAACTTCTAATTTATTTAAGCAAGACTTAAAGATGGTGAGATTTATTTTTACATGTAGCTATATTTTAAATATGAAATGTTTCAAAAATGTATTACAAGACAGTAGCCTTATGTTGGGCTTAGTAACTCCTTGCTATTGTGATTTGTGATAGTTGATCTGTGATTTGATATAAGAGTTTTCAGTTAATTCATAAATTATGTTTTAATAATTTCAAATGTTATTTAAGGAAATATCGTTCAGTGTCACTTACTGTTGTCCAGATACAAGTTATTCAAAAATAAATTTCTTACAAAACAAGATACTACACACAGCTTTTTAAATTTCTGAATTATTTATATATTGTAAAAAGAAAAACCGGCAGCGGTGGTTGCCAGAAATTTACTGTAAAAAAATATGGTACCACCATCTTAGGTTTTACAGATTTAAATGAAACTTTCAGTTAAAAAAAAAGACTTGAACATGAACTTAGAATTGCAATACAATACACTCTCAATACAGTAAAAAAATAATAAAAAAAAATAATAATTTCTGCAACCTTGGCCAAATTGCATAGCAGTACTTATAATGACTATATTTGCCATACTAGAGATATCTTTTTTTTTTTTTAAGTCTTCTGACAACAGACTTTCTCTCCTTCCCCTTTTGGCAGTCGTCTCAGTTCTGCAAAAATAAAAAATGTATAACTGTACTTTGCTACAAATCAAGGCATGTATTCATAAAGAATCTTAATGAAAAGAGTAGCTCCTAGTGACAAAATTCTAAGAAAATTCTTAGAAATGTGGATGTTTACTCTAGGAAAATATCCTAGTAAAGAAAACAGTAATTCAGAAAGCATCTTAACCCTTAAAAGAGGTCTTAAGGTCAAAATTGTTAGGAGCACGGACAGGGACTTTTAAGAGACTTAAGAGTTTCTCTAGGAGAGGAGAAAATGGCAGAAAGACGAAGAGGTAGAAGAAATGCGTTCCAGACAATGGATGACAGTTAAAAGATTAGATCATGCAGGGATCATGTTTGTGACTGATCTGATCTTATTAGAGACACGCTAACATCTCCAACACAGCGCAGAAATGCCATAGCACCAGACATGAAAGTAATCACTATTACGATATTTGGCAACTGGGAAAATGCAACAATGCAGCAGTGATTACTTGGGTCTATCACGACCTTCTGTAAGCAGAGTGATCACACAATTACAGCACTTTCAGAACCTCTTATTGTGTCGCAGTTCATTTTGTTTCCACTGGACATTCCCAGCTCAAAAAAACTGCATTAATGAATATAGCAAGCTTCCCTGGTGTTGTCGGAGTAATTAATGGATGCCACATCCGAATGATTGCACCGTCTGAAAATGAGGACGTTTATGTTAATAGGAAGAGGTACCACAGCATAAACGTTCAAGTTGTTTTCAGTGCAGATTATAGGATTGTAGACATTGTTGCAAAATGGCCCGGCGCAGGATGCCAGGATACTGGGGGAGAGAGGCCTGAGACGTTTGAACTTGTTAGGGGACAGTGTTTATCCTTGTAAACCATGGCTTCTCACACCTTACCTCCATCATGACCAGTGGTCACAGTTAAATTACAACAGTGACAACATACAATTAATGTGTGTGGAGTTCAAATTTAGAGAACAACAAATGTGTTGCACTAGGCTACTCTACTTCCCATAAATAGCCTACCCTATTTGTTTTAAAAATATCAACTGAATTCCGTTCATTTGAGCTCACAAGAAAACACAAGCCGTAATTGAGCGGGGTACTGGTCAATTTAAGAGGCGCCTTCACGTTTTGAGAGGTGCGACTGGCACCAGAAAAGCTGTTTTAAGCTTTAAAGTGTTTTCGAACAAGAACAACAGTAGGCTATTTTTAGAGACATTAAATCATAAATATTAGAAAATATTTTTAAAAATTAAGAATTTGATTGTTAAAATAATTATTTTTGTTCTTTTTATATTCTTCTTTATCATTGACTCATTTATACACTTAAAACGACCAATCAATAGCAAAAGCACTCAATCTTTCTCAGTGGTACAGCAGGGGATGGTCTCTCAATAGCCAAAACGCCCATAACGTTCAGCATCACATTTAGTAGTCTTCTAGGTAGGTCAGCGACACGTCGTCGTCGGTCGGTTAATATCACAAAACGCGTGTTCGAAAGATACTTAGCGACGGACTGAATAAAAATCAGCGGTTACAGCGAGCGGTGAACGCACGAAAGAATGAACGAATGAAGCAAGAACAATGGCCAACCTGACAGTCCCAAAACACAGCGGCTAACAGAGACTGTGTCAGCCAGTGAGAGAGGGAGGAGAAGGGAAGGGGCTGAGGTAGAAAACAGCTGTCTGATAACGATAGGGATGATATAAAAATAGCATATATTGTCGCTTAAATGGTGAATAGAGCAAACTGTAACCATAACATCGCGACGTCTAGAAACGGATCGCGTAAATGTAGGATGAGTAAGTAAATAAATAAATAAGAGCGCGTGAGCGTCATCTGCAGTGTGTAGCATCTACATCTACTTGCACCACCTGAAGAAGACAACGACCGACACTGGCTGCTGGGAAATAAAGAAACGGGGGGAAAACACGAGTTATCAGTGGAGAGGAAGGACGACGGGCAAAGTCAGCGAGACTGTCCTTGTTATATCCTTGTGATAGGAGTAATTGAACAGCGGTTCCTTGTATTTGAGGGAAGGAGGTAGAAGGGGGTATCAGTGCTGCAGCGGCCGCCGTGATGCTTTACACATGTAGGCACGTTTGAAGCAGTTCATCCCCGCCCTGTGTGGATCTGACCGAACCGAGCCGACTGTACAATAACGGATTTAATAGGGGAACGCTGGACGGCTCTGAAAAGGACTTGAGGAGCAGAACTGGGGACTGGTAATATGACGATAACATTTAATTAATAAGAGATGCATTTGTAGGCTACCTGTACGGAGGAGATAAATGACGGGATTTAAATCGCCCATTTGTTTTTCAACATGGATTAATTGGCCCATGATCACTGGATAGAATGCTTATTACGTCCGAGTTTTAATACAGTACCGATTTATGCCTCTAGCCTATAAATATTTAAATAAAGACCAAATTTAGGCCGATGACTTTCTGATGACGACAGTACGACAGAGATGTCTTTATTGTAGAAATATGTGTTCACACCAGTATCTTTACATAAAGATATAGATAATTACATTCACCCTTGTGCTTATTTCCGTGTCTAATCTCGTTTTTGGGGGGGTTTAATGTAACACGAGCAAGAGACGCGTCAAATTGAACACTGATAGCTTTTACTTCTACCATCCCTCTGTCTATAATTTAGACCAGGTTAGATAACTTCTGACTATAGTCGATCCCTGTTTGTCCATTTTACTTTTTCAATCCAAGAAAAAAAATATATATTTCTGACTCAATAACAAGGCGCTTTGGGTGCCTATTCCGGCGGTTGGCTTCCTCCTTCAAACAGTCTTCTGCCGAGAACCACCTTTGCTGCGATGGAGACCCCCACGAAGCTACCTCCGTCGAGCCCATCCTCGCCGACGACGGGCTTCTCTGTGCCGAGCGCAGAGAAGGTAGACGGCTTCCCCCGCCGCTCGATGCGCCGTGCCCGGCAGCGACGGTCCCACAGCTCCTCACAGTTCCGCTATCAGAGCTCCCAGGTGGAGCTCACGCCGCTGCCCTTACTTAAAGGTAGGTTGCTTTAACTGGGACGTGAGGTGGTTTGTTTTTAATGACATGTTATTTAGCAAATGAGAATAATTATTCATTCCATGATACTAAAATAGACTATTACAGCCATTTTGGTGAACTCAGTGTTTTCTTGAGCATCCTTAAGAGATGGGACCAGGACGCCAAATGTAACTAAATCTTCCGAGGAGCACAGCTAGACTCAGCAGGTTTTACTTTAATGCTTCCATCATTCAAGGGTACATAATTTAACAATAACAATTTTAACAATTTTAATAATTTTAATAATTTAAAAACTGTAGGCCTATACATTTTTTTGACTGAACTTAAATTAGCTGTCTGGAATGGGGGGTTGTAACATTAAATTTAACTCAACTTAAACGTCTCGTGTTGCAAAAAGTTAACTGAGTAACACCAATAAGATTAGATGTGTCAAAGTAACTCAAATGAGACTATTGCACTAGGTTAGCATGACAATCTGCTAGAATTGCAGGAAAGAAGAAACTGTCCATTGCAGTGGTATTTGCATAGTAATTATTAAGTAAAGCAACATAAACCATAATAATATCTGGCTTAAGAACACATACCATCTTCAGTCAATCATAGTCATGATTCATGCTGGGAATCTGAAATCCATTGTGCAGTTTTAATGAATTGCAATAAAAATGATTCAATAATGATTCACATTGATTCACAAAGTAAACTTCTGTTTTACTAATTAAAGGGATGGTTCACCCCAAAATTAAGATTCTGTCATCATTTCCTCACCGTCAAGTTGTTCTAAACCTCAATGAATTGAGGGTATGCATTGACATCACTTTTCCGCCAGACACCCCCTCAGCCAGACTGAGTGACAAAAGAGCCGCTGCATGACTGGATTTAATAGGGAAAACTTCAAAAACAAGAGTAAAACAAACAATTATTAATTTGAACTAAAGGTTGGACTCAATATAGGGCTCCTTACAAATAACCAAATATCCAGTGATCCATGGATTTTGACATGCAGCCAGGAATCGTGTTTCCTGACAATATGTGCCTGATTTACACGTGGGGGGATATACATAAAGCAAATTAGCCTGTGAACGCTTTAGATAAATACAATATAGGTAGGTCTAAATCCGGGTATTCACTTATCAATGTTATATATTTCGTCATATCATCCAGCCCTAAAACCTTTATAGTTTTTGTCAATGTTTATTTAAAAACATCCAATTATACAGAATATAATATATCGTAAATATTTAAGAAGAGGCGTCAATACAATAACAATTCAATAGGGTATGATTTAACCCCGAAATTCAACATATCGACACAAAATTAAAACTGCAAATTCATTTTTCGCTGCCTATAGAGTCCAGTTGTTTCTGTGAATTGTACCGATACATTTGCTTCTCTTTTCACTAGCCTTTGGCCCTCTGTAAAAATATACTTCAGACTTCTTGTCAAATCTATTTGTACAGTCAATCTCATAGCTGTTTTGTGTGTTTTTGCGGCATTCACGCTGAAAACCAATGCTGCCACTCAGTCCACAGTCACTCCGGCTGACGTGATGTCACGTGCATACCCTCTATTTCATTCGTCTGCTGAACACAAAAGAAGACATTTTAAAGAATATTGGTAACCAAACAGTTGATTGGCCCCATTGACTTCTGGGCTCCATCAACTGTACAGACATTCTTCAAAATATCTTATTTTGTGTTCAGAAGAGAGAAACACATTCAGGTTTGGAACAACTTGAGGGTGAGTAAATGATGGCAGAATTAAAATTTTTGGGTGAACCGTCCCTTTAAGTGGTTTGAATGCAATGAAATTAAAAGTATCCTCAGTCTGAAGACCCTGATATTTACACTTCCATATGCTCATTTTGGTCATCCACCTGAAGTGAGGGAGAAACTCTGAAGTGTCTAGGAAGCTACTGATCATATTTGTGGATGGTAAGTCGTAAATAAGCAATTGGATTATGATGCATAAGAGTAGATGCATTGTAGAGTAGAATAACCACAAATAATACAGTGTTGTTTCACAGTATTTCATGGATGGCACTAAATTTTATAGGTTTTCCAAGTTCTCGACTTCATGACTCACACTTCAGCAGAATATGATTCACTTCGTCTAATGCAGGAATCATCTGAGTTACATTTCCAGTGAAGTAGGATTTAGTGGTGCCAGTTTTAACGGGACTCTCCAGCTGAGGTTTTGCTGCCAGTTGGTGTGTCACAGGGGGTCCAGACTGAGCCTCTGTCCTGCTTAACCATCCAACTGACCTGCTTTTAGTCATTCACATGACACTGAGATACATCTCCTGTGTTAATCAATGTCTGTCTCTTTTACTCTTACTAAGTCCAGTAGATCTAACTTCAGGGCTATGACTGGTTGTAGGTTTAACTCTGGTTTTATTTCTCGTATAAAAAGCACAGTTCTGGTGGATCTTTGTGGTATTCTGGGTGCTTGTGTTAGATTGAGTTTATGGCAGTTATGGATTGGCAAAACTCTACTATCAGTGTGCTAAAAAGTTGTTTTTGTTTGTTTAACATGTACCTGCTAGAGATTTAAGCTCCATTAATGGCACAGGATATATAGATGTGACATATATAATGCTCTTTAAACACAAGATTAGCTTAGTGGAGCATGACAGACTCTACCTAATATTGTTTGGGCTGTGAATTTACCTGTGAGCCTCTATTTGTGTTTGTGCGTTATAGAAAGTAAGTGAATAAAACAGCTGAGATGCTCAATCAGTCCAAAACATGACCTGAATCTTGAATTGGTTTACCAGCCAAAAATATGGCCAACACTGCCAGGTTTACTAGCTTGGGTTATTAGTTACCGGAAAAAAAGACTGCAGGGTGCGGTATTGTGAGCCATTGGTGGTGCGTTATATTATCATTTGTAAACATTCAAATTCTGCTCTTCAAGTTCATTTGTGTTGTTGTTTCCACTTAGGTCTCTGGAGTGACTTCACTATTAGTCCTCGTGAGTTTGTGAGCGTGTGTCTCTGTAAATAGCTGTCACTGCTGGAGGGAAAGTGTTTTCCAATTGGACAATGGGCAGCTCAGAGCTCTCAGCCTCATTCGCATTGTGACTCGTCTACACATTCAAAGCTCCTCAATTTCATAAGTGAAACAGAAATGAGAGTTTGCACTTGTTGGGTTAGCTATGACAGCATCTCATATCTATTAGCAATAACCTTAGAGTGTGAATAGTGGTGGGTATATATCTGCCTTCTTCTTCCTGCAGGGTCCAGCTGGTCAGGGCTGGTGTAAGGTTACAGTACACAGAAGGCCCGCTCCCTCTCTGGCCTCCTTCGATCAATAAAGAGGGCAAGAGAGGAAGAGGGAGAGAATAAAAGAGGGAGTGAGTGATTATCGAGACAGGAAAGAGAAAAAAAGCATTAGAGAAACCGAGAGAGTGAAATGGATAAGCATGTTGAAGCTGTAAGTGCAGGAACAGTGTACCTGAGGGAGAGTTATTGTTGAGGACAAAATGTAGAAAAGAGAAAAACCCACAGACACACACACACATATTTATTTGTATTAATAATATATTAGTAATATTGTGAATTATTTAAGTATTATTAACATTTAACTTAACAGTTTTCTATTTTAATATATTTTAAAATGTAATTTATTCCTGTGATGGTATTTTCAGCATCATTACTCCAGTATTTAGTGTCACATGATCCTTCAGAAATCATTCTAATTTGGCAATTTGGTTCTTAAAAAACTTTATTATTATCAATAATAATATTAATATTAATTTGTTTTTTTTTCAGGATTTTTTTCAACTTTCAAAAGAACCCCATTTATTAAAAAAAAGGGTTTTTACTGTTATTTGTTGAAAAGTATATACTGTACATATCGATCCTAGGACTAGAACTGCCCCAGTCACTTGCCCCAGAACTATGGTTGTATTTTGTATTTTGCAGTTAAATTATCAAGTAACATCATGGTGTCCATGAAACAAGTTAAAATATTATTTGAAGATCACATTCCACATTCAAAAAAAAAAAAAAAAATCTCATGCATTATTTTTGTCATGCATTATTTTTGCTTGGCTGTTTTATGGGTTGTGGTGGCTGCCACAGAAAACACAGTTTACTCATTAAAATCACTCTACAACAGAAAAAGATGTACGGAGAGAATGACTGTGAGAGAGGGATGGAGAGGAGGGGTAAAAGGAGATCATGAGGAGAGGAACAGGGAAGAGGGATGACATCATCTCTCCGACTCTCTCTGCACTGTTTTCTTTCCCTATACTATGCATCTCTCTCTGTCTCTCTCTCTCTCTCTCTCTCTCTCTCTCTCTCTACGTCCCACTGTTGCTTATTGGCCACTATATTTAGCAGCTTTGCATGTTCAACATTACAGCATGTTTAGAGTGACGACTTGTCTAACTAGAGCGATACCATTCAACTTTAGATGTAAAACTGCTGCTATTTCTTCAAATCAATAATGATAGTTTTCAGATTCTTTCCGTAATTTAAGCTCATTTCAAATACTCATTTTATTCATTCTCTCAGTTCTCAGCTTCGCTCTCCCTCTAATTCTCAGTACATCTCCAGTTCCTCGTGTCTCCACCCTCTTCTTCTCTCTCACACTTTTCCCAAGACAATTTCGTTTTTCTCTTCAGACTGCTGTGGCTGTGTCATGCTCTTTTGCACCTTATCCTTCCCCCTGTCTACAAGCAATCACACCAGCCTCTTTTCATCACATTCACTTCAGCAATCTTCATTTTCGCCTTGTTGATTTCTTGGTCTATCTGTCTCCTTTAACTTTACCTGCTGCACTTCGACTCTAGGATGACTCTATCTGTGGCAGACTGTGAATGTTAAGACTAATCCATTTTTAATGGAGAGTAATTGTACTAAGTAGCTAGCAGGCTGAGGCTAATGAAAAAGAGAGATTAAGAGACAGAGAGAGATTCATGTCGAAGTATGGGAAAAGTAGGGTATGTAGTTGTGTTGAGTTTTTAGATGAATGGAGTGGATTGTCATGGTTATTGTGCCTCGAGGCGCTATGTCCACAGAGGGCCGAGACAGCCCAGGGTTAAAGATAGCACCCGCTAATCATGTTAGCACCAGACTCCTCCACTCATTTCTCATTAGCATCCCGTCTATCCACTTCAAGAAATCTGCATTATATACTCTGTCTATAGATCCAAGTGTCTAGATCCAACCATCCTTAATGTTATTGTTCTGTTGGAGAGCATAAATATAAAGGTTCTTCTTTACTGGCATTGATGGTTCCATGAAGAAACTTTAGCACCCATGGAACCTTTCCATAGCACAAAAGGTTCTTTATAGTGGCAAAAGGCTCTCAAGATTATCAAAAATGTTCTTCACTACACTAAGAAAAAACAGTTTTTAAAAACTTTTTAAAAAACTTTTTTGAAGTTTGTGTTTACATAATATATGTGGGTGCACTGTGTATATATATTAATTTGTATATATAAAAATACACAAACATGAAATAAATAAAATAAATTCTTAAATATATACAAGCATGTGTGTGGATTTATATATATATATAATAATTATACACAGTGCACCCACATATATTATGTAAACACAAACTTTTATTTTGGATGCGATTAATCGTGATTAATCGTTTGACAGCCCTATTCACAGAAAGGTTCTTTGGGGAACCCAAAAATGTTCTTCTATTGCATCGATTTACGCTCTTAGAAGAAATTGTTATGTTAAACTTGAAAGTAGGGCTGTGCAAAAGTTAATTGCGATTAATCGCATCCAAAATAAAAGTCTGTGTTTACATAATATATTTGTGTGTGCTGTATATAATTATTTTGTATATATAAATACACACACATGCATGTATATATTTAAGAAAATATGTTATTAATATATAAAATATTTATATTTATATAATATAGATTATGTATTTATTAATATATACAGAATTTAAGCGCAAATAATTCTTAAATATATACATGCATGCATAGGTATTTATATATACAAAATAATTATATACAGCACACACAAATATATTATGTAAACACAGACTTTTATTTTGGATGCGATTAATCGCAATTAACTTTTGCACAGTCCTACTTGAAAGAATTATGCAATCCTTTAAAACATTAGAATATTTTTTTTTTTGCATAAAAGTTTGTTTAAATTGAGTAAAGAACACTTAGGTTCTATGTAAAAACCCACTAGACTGTGTAGCATTAGGAAAAAGTACTGTGGTGGTACCATGATACAGTTATGGTCATTTATCAGATTTATGTGCATGGTATTTCAAGACCAGTGTTGGGTAAGTTACTCTAAAAAAGTAATTAATTACTAGTTTCTAATTTCCTCTTCAACAGTGTAATTAGATTACTGTACTAATTACTCTCTCTAAAAAGTATTTAATTACTTTTAATTACTAATTACTTTCAAAACCCCATATCTATCTCAACCAGCTGAATAATACAAGGATAGACATGAATTTGTTTTAATTCTTTCAAATAAATACTGTAAAATTGCATGAATTATCCTTAAACTGACCAAGGTGGAGAAGATTACATTATAAAAACATACTTTTTAACATCAGACAATACATTTTGATGTTAAAACCACCATTGTTTTATGTCTGATCACATGACATTTCACACTTTTTTCATACATATTTTACAATAATTCATACGAATTTGTACGAGTGCGATCGTACAATTTAGACACCTCATAAAATGCATACGAATCGCTGTGAGATCGGATTGATCTATACACAGTATTTACCTCAATTACATCAGAAGTAACTGTAATTAAATTACAGATAAATGAAGAGCAATCCCTTACTTTACATTTTCAAGGGAAAAGTAATTAAATTACAGTAACTAATTACTTAGTAATTAGTTACACCCAACACTGTTCAAGACTCTTTCTGTTTTTATCATGGTATGTTTTTTAGAAAAAGAAGAAAAAACATCACATTCATGCATTTAGCAGACACCTTTATCCAAAGCAAACTACAAAAGAGAAACAATGTTTGTTCATAGGATAGATACTATGCCTGGCTTATTGGCTGGACTTGGTAAAATATAGTAAACTCATCATGGTAAATGTGCAGTATATTTGTGTGTGTGTATATATATTAGATAAGATTACATGTCCTCTCCTTCCTGTCCCTCAGATGCTCCAGTGGCAGAGCTTCATGACTTGTTCTGTAAGAAGCTGCAGCAGTGTTGTGTGCTTTTTGACTTTCTGGACTGTGTCGCCGACCTGAAGGGGAAAGAGATCAAACGTGCTGCGCTGAACGAGCTTGTGGAGAGCGTGGCCACCAGTCGCGGAGTCCTCATCGAACCCCTTTACCCAGAGGCTATTAAGATGGTGAGATGAATCGCGAAAGAGAGAAAAAGTGATGGAGTAGGATGGGATTTGATAAAAGAGCAGAGGAGGCAAAGGGAGATAAATCATTTTGAGGGATGTGCAGGATCTCCAATGCACTAAAGTGCACTTAAAGACTCAGAAGCATTTACGTTTCTTTGTGTTTAGCTACATTAGCTCTGTACTGTATGTAGCTGAAATACAAAAACACCTTAATTGGGGAGCAATTGATTTTTAACTGGTCCTTTTAGGTTTTGATTTGAAAGACAAAGGGGGGAATTTACCAAGAATGAATTTACGGTGTCTGGTAGTGCTGTTTATTTGCATATGCTTGTTTATTTTAGCCCCTTGTTTACTAGAGGAATTATGCAAATCTGTTGCTCTGATCAATAGAAAATGTACACAAATATCTTTTAAAAATCAATTCCATTTACTTACATTCTGCCTACGGAAATGGCACAACATTGCGTTTTTAGAATAACGGTGGAACTGAGCTGTTGCAAAGAAAAGCAGCAATGAAAAGAATTACAGTGATTTAAAAGGACAGTTTTATTAAAAATGACAATTCTGCACTGTAAAAAGATTGCTGTAAATTTTACAGTAACTTACTGGCAGCTGGATGCCAGTAAGTTACTGTAAAAGTGTTTAAAGTATCAGTAGTGTAATTTCATTTACAGTTATACAATTGTAAACTGTATTAATATTTACAGTAAGAGTACTGTATTTTTCCTTTACATTACAAATACCATATTTTAATTTACAGGAATAATACTGTATATTGTATTCATTTAACTACTTTATCCTTTTATTTATCTATTATATAATTTGATTTTTTTTTACGATTTACAGCAGAAAATAATTACAGTAGTAAACATATTTTCCCATAATCCTAGGTTATTTACAGTATTATACTGTAGGCACATTTAACAGTATTATACTGTACATACTACAGTAAAATACTGTTCAAATTACAAAAATCCATTACCGTGTAGAAAATAATTACAGTAGTAAACACATATTTTCCCATAATCCTTGGCTATTTACAGCATTATACTGTTGACACATTTAACAGTATTATACTGTACATATTACAGTAAAATACTGTTCAAATTACAAAAATCCGTTACAGTGCATAATTTACTCACCCTCATGTCATTCCAAGGGCCCTATTTTAATCTGAAACGCAAATATCAAGCACGAAGCACAAGTAACTTTGTGAGCGGATCTTGGGCGCTGTTGCTATTTTACCGGCAGGATAAATGACTCTTGAGCCTGAGTTTAAAAGGGGTTGGTCTGAAATAGCATTATTATTCATAGGTGTAGTTTGGGTGTTATTTGAAATAAACCAATTAAACCAAGAGTGTCATCCAACATACCTTTTAAGAGCAGGTGCGCAGGTTGCATGGCGGATTGTTATTATTGTGGCGGATTTACCAGGCGCACGGCCGGAGCGGTTCACAGCTGAGGAGGCCGACGTTCTTTCGGCAGTGAAAGACAAAAGTGACGTTGTATGGGGATGGGAGAAACCCACCCAAATCAGCGTCG